TAAAAATAACATTTTAATGAAAGCAGATATGACAGTGAATCGTTTCTCAGATTACTGTGCAAAATAAATATTTTTAATGAAGACTTAATTTAATTGAGCAAATATAAAAGTATTCTAAGAATAAAAAAAGTAATTGAAAGACTTTAGTCAAATATGAATAGGCAAAAAAAATTCTCATGATTCAAACTTAAACTAGTCGAGCTTGCGCTTCGTTTTTAAACAATAAACTAGAAAAAAAGTCATCCTGTTTTTGTAAGTATGCAGTGGCTTGCAGTAATGTACTAGCACGAGTAAGTAATTGCTTGCTTTGAGATAATCTTTTACAGCAATAACAAGAAACATTTTAGTCAAATTTCCGACTTTTTTTGCTTACTTAAGTACTTAATTAATTAATTAACTGATCAACTAATTAATCAAGTATTTTTGCGTGTAGATAGTATGGAGAACGATCCCAATTGCTAGTCATTAACTTATAAATAGATCAATGCAAGCTATTATAATGTAAATTATCCACGTATATAAATAATGATACGCGCAAAAAGCGCGACTATTTTTCGCGCCTCAACATCATGTTCCTCTGCATGCAAAGACATACTTATAGACAATGGTTGCTTGTTCAAAAAATAAACTTTATTAGATTAGTTAAATTCAGTTTCGAAAAGTGAAGTCAAAATTATTGCTTAAGTCTTCATGTCAGTTACTCGGAATCTTCCTTCTATATAGAAGATCTGCTAAAAATAATGAACAATCTGCCTTCTCGAGCTTGCAAAGAAATAAGAATTATTGGGAGTCATTGGTTGCTTTTACAAAACTTTCGAGACTTTTTAGAAACTGGAAGAGAGGCTAAAAAATATATTTGCATACAAATAAGTCGAAAAATTGTTTGTTATAATAAGATTCGTAGCAGAGAAAAAGTTGTGAGGATCCACTTAGCATCAGAATCAAGGCTGGTTGTTTAATTTGGAATTTTTAAGAATTTTACCAATAAAACAAAAATTGGAAACATACGTAAAGTGAACTTGAAATGACGTGATGACGATGAAATGAATCTCTCCCCAATGAACCTGGAAAAAAGGCGTAAACCAATATTTTTGGACAAAAGTTGAGTGATTATCTGGCCATATGCTTCCAAAGTAACAAAAACACATAATTTTTCAAGCTTATAAAATTATCAGTTAGTTGATCAGAATTATCATACTACCAGAGATTTAAAGTTATACAAATATTTTGAAAAATGAAACTTACTTTGTGTCAAATATCTTCACGTGAAAAATTGGTTCTTTATTTTAAAAAAATGATATTTAGTTTAATTAAGGAATTAAGTGAAAATTAAATACCAATGTTTTCTTTATTAGCTTTAATAGTGCAACTTAATTGATAAGTATCAAAAATATGAAGTGACTGAGCATCGTTGTTCTTGAAGCATTTTGAAGGTTAAAAATTTTGCAAATTTTCAATCAAACTAATTTATCAGTTTAGAGGTTTTTCTAAATTATTCATTAATGGTTGTCAACAAATTTTGGCAAAAATAGTTCAGTGTGTGAAACTTACAAAACTCATGTAAGAAATGAATGAGTTATCAATGAATGATAAATTGCTAGCACAAAAAGTTGAGAAAAGGGCGATTATATCAACTTTGAACTTTATTCAATGACAGTTACTTAAGCATTTTAGGAACTATAATTTTGATCAAAAAAAAGTATGAGAATAAGAATCAGGTAAAATACAAACTAATTAATAGATGGCGAAAAAATGTTAGGGTGATTTTAATTTTATCTTTTTATATGCTTTCTTCAAAGCAAAAATAAGATATTAGAATAATAGAAGAGCAAAAAATTTCAGAGCACGTTCTATTCGCTTAATAGTAATAGAATTGAATCACTAAGGTATGTTTGCAAAGAAAAGTGAATCAGTTGGGTAGTAAAATTGTCACGTATCTAAGTTTAATATTTCTAAAACTGAAGCGGTTGAAAGAGAATGATGAAGAAAAGAAATGTTCCAATCAAACCTGATTATTTATTGTAAGATCAGACAGGTTTAAAAATTAGTATTTTCATATAACAATAAGTGTTAGCACAATGAACTAGCTAAGCAGCAACAACAGTTATCAAAGTTTGGCAAATACAAATTAATATTTTGGAGTAACAAAGCATTTTTGCTGATTAATTGATAAAATTAATGAAAAAATGTTTTTGAAAAAAGCAAATAAATCTTCTCAAGTTTCATATTTTTGCATTAAGAATAATGCACAATAAATATTGTTTATCATGAAATCACTAACATAATTGCTTATACTCATTACTTCCTTTGGGAATTTCTAGTTCTCTCAGTAATTTCGATATCTCCAGTAAACTCATTCATTCCTTCAAGTGTTTACTGCATGAGAAATACCTTAATGTTAATACGTGATACAACAAGATACCGGTCTTAAGATGCTCATTCGTGTCCCGCAGTCATAAATGACCATCAAATAACCTGAACACTGATACTTGCTATCTCGTTTTCGTCTCCCAACACTGCCATTCTCCTAATCACTTTCATCATCGGTTATTCACTTCTAAAGTCATCCACTTAAATTAGATAACACATTTTTGATTAGTTAATATTATTAAGAAATCATAGTTTATTATGGTAAATAATATTAATCCCTTTATTATATATACATGTAGTAGAAGTCATTATTGTAGAACTTCATCTTGTGACACAACTTGCCACCATAATCTCATTGTTTGTTAGCGTATTAGTAGATATCATCTTCAGTACATATGATTAGTGTTAACATCAAATTGCTAATATTATTATTTCAACAAATTTGGGGCTACTTTTTTTGATGACACAACATACAAAGTCATTATTAGAAGGATGGTTATTAATTGCAAACTATTTCTTTGGAAATATGAAACTTGGCAAATTTATTTCCAAGAAACCTTCGGTACATGATAACCAGTACCTAGCAGTAAGTAAAATGTTATTTAGTGATAAAAATATGGCATTTAAAAATTTAGCATTTAAAAATAATGACTTTTATGATCAAATAAGGGTAAAAACTTATATAATCATATCTAATCATGATTATTCCTCCAATTCTGTTAACTTGAAATTGTTGCTGATTATTTTCAATTTGCATTCTACAAGTGTGACTATTTCATACTAATTCGAATATAAATTCTAAATATTTCATATGCAGTTTTGTAAAAACGAAAGATTTGAATCAGAATGGACTAAAAATAAACAACAGGATTGCTTCAATGAAGTTTGCTAGACCAAAGTGATCTAAAATTTAACTTGAAGTAAATGTTTGAATAACTAGTACTTGAATCAAAATTGCAAGCGACGTTTTTTAGATGCAATGCATGAAAAAACACATGCACAGACTAATGCTTCATTTCATTATTGAACTTATGTACAGCAATATAATGCTACATTCCAGGGGTCAAACTGTAAGGCACATCTCGAAAGCAGTGCTGATATACGCTTACAAATGAAGTAATATCAAAGTTTTGAATAGCTTCAAAAAGTTTGAATTGGTCTGCAATTTTTGAGAATCGCATTTCCACAGCACCATTGCAACTACTTGTGATATTGATTTCTTCCCCACCATTTGTTGTTTTTTGCAACTGACTTGGTGCTATAAGGTGCTGAAATATTCCTACCAACATATGACCCCAAGCTCGAGTTGAACAGAACAATGCAGCACCAACATCATCCTGAAATAAGATCATGTAGAATAATGAGATAAGCAAAGTACCACAAAACTAGCAACATTTTGTATTTAAGTTCTAAAGACTGCTACTCAAAGTAATTCAGAGTGATGAAAGTTGTCCAATTTATGCAAATTAACGCATATGCAAAACAATAGAAGGTAAATATTTGATTAAATTAAATATAAAACTGTATTTTTACTCGAATTAGTAATCAAATTATAATTTCACTGACGAATAAAACTATCTCTTCCGAGAGCTTCTTTTTTAAGAAGAAAACTGACGTCACTGGCAAAGTAAGAACGAAGTGTATTTTATTTGAAAGAATGAAATTTAAAAAAATCGAATTGGGTAAAGATTGAGAAGAAACAGGAAATAGTTACTGCTGCAGTACAAGTAGTGATGAAGAGTAAAGTGAAAAGATAATAGAGAAAAAGTGACGATCTGTTTTGCTTTAAAAACTGATTTGTATTTTAAAACGTATTTTAACTGTTTTAAAATAGAAAATTCGGTGATTGAATCACGAAACATTGATAATGTGTTTGCATGAAAGATTAGATGAATAATCAGATCTGAAATACACACCAGTGCAAAATCAAGAGAAGAATGATAATTGCTAAGACAAATTTAAGCAATTATCATTCTTACGGAGATTTTGACAAAGATTAAAATCTTACAATAGTAATAACTTGAAAAGTGATATAATTTGAAAATTTTTATACCATTAAACAAGTTTGGAGAATAAATGTTTAGCATGCAGAATATAGGAGGTTTATTAATAAGTAAATTTGACATCACAAACCCAACAAGCCGTGTCATTAGCAACTATCGGAGACCAAAGAAAATTGGGCTTATTCTTGACAGCATCTAATGATTTTAGCGCAATCAGACGTATATTGTTTTGATCGACAAATTCTGTTGCTGAATCCGAAATGATTAATTAAATATCAAGCAGAAATAAATAAATTTTTCTCACTTTTCACTACCGGTTACATTTGCTATAACATAATTCTCGGAAGAATCTACAGCTTGCTGTAAGTCACTTTTGAATCAACGAAACTAACTTTAACTTGACATTCAGTTATATCGAGTAAAACCAGCGGTAATTTGCTGTTCAACAAAGCAGAACTGACTGTAATTTATTGCTGAACTTGCTAATACTAACCATTGTCCGTAGTGGCAAAACCTACAACCCAGCACTTTTTCCTCTTCAGTTTGAGGGGATCGATGCTGACAATTGATGACTGCAAAAGTGTTGGTCGAACATTGAGTTGAGCTACTCCTCTCGGTGCTGGTGCTGGTGGACATAACTGAAAGCAATCAATAAAATGAGTAATTTTTCGAAATTTCTGCGATAAAAATGGTGATTATATTAATTGTTCAGTTATTATATGCTATGAGATATTTATAATGCAGTTACCATTGATAATTTTAATTCAGGAATTTCCATAATAGCCCATGTCTCACCAATTTTCACCACTTCTGCTCCTAGTATTCTTGAACCCTTCATGAATGGAGCATTGATAACAAATTCAGATAGACTAAAAACATACTTGGAAATTTCTTCCTGAATGAAATTAATATGAATTAGAGATTAAATTCAGGATACTAAACTTAAAATTCACTCAATAACATTTGTTTATGAAACTGGACACTGGTTTTATGAAACTGGACACAAAAATTAATTCTAAGATTATGTTCTTTTCAGCTTTACGATGTATAACAATAAAATTGCAGCATTATTCTAGTGCTGTAAGATATTCAATTGCTGTAGCATTCAAGCGTCAATCATGGAAACTTTTACAAATGAATTTAAATTGCAGCAAAAAAATTAACGGCTGAAATTGCAATTTTACAAAGAAAGATAAATGTTATTACGAGAGGAAAGAAGTCAACTATCTGTTTAAAACTATCTTTTAACTGATTAAATTATATCATATATCTTATCATATGCATACATTACATTATGAGATCATAATATCGTTTATATCAAATTGTGGTAAACTTTCAAGTTCATAATTATTTCAAATCAAGATCATTTGAAAGACTGATATAAGATGTGCAGATACAAACCGTTTTCCGGTTGTTGTGTTCAATATGCACTGTGATGAAGTGAGCACTAATCGAGGGGATATGATAGTTCCAGTGCAACTCGTTACTATATTTGACAATTTTTCCCGTGAAAATATCTGTAGATTTTTCTGCTACCATATAATAGTCAATTTTGAATCATTACATGATAAATATAAAAGTACTAAAAATCAAAAGTAAGATAAGTAAAGAAGATCATAAATTAAAACTTCAAATCATACATTTATAACTTTTATTTTATCAACATTTAGGCCAAAATTGTCATGTTTTTTCCAAAGAAATATAAAATATTTCTAAAAAAAGGAAGATAATCAAACCGCCTAAGAATGAACTTAATAGCTTGAAATATAAATGACTGATTGAATTTAATTGCAAATAAGCGTGATTCGTCGTAATGCAGTATTGCAATCTCATAATTACTTCTTTTAACTTTAATTAACAAATTTTCTGTCTGGAAAATTTGCGGAATTTGACTAGTTTCCAGTTTAAACTATTAGTATCTGAATGTCTTTTCGGCAGCATACTCTACTGCCTGCTTAAGTTTTGGTCTTGTCAACTTTGAACTAGTATAACACATCTTTCAGTGCGTTTGTGTTTTAGTTTTTAGTATCTGTATAAAAATACCATTACGGACAGCTCTTACAAATTATGTCATACTAACTGATATTGTAATGAATAACTCTGTGCAGGAAAGACAATAGCTGCTAGCGGATTTGACGGAGAAAATGAATGAGAGATTCAGATTTAAATTAAACTATAAATTTAAAAAGGTATGGTGAGAAGCGAAGTGTGATTGAAGGAAGAGAAAATTTGTATCATCAATATTTTTGTAAGAAATGCAAAAATTATTTGTACTAATCGTAATGTCAATTTCTATAGTTTAGAATCTCATCATCACATTACAACTACACTGGTTCAATAATTTAATTATTCAGCGATATGCAGGAAGAAAACTTTATTAAATAAAACTTTGTGATTCCACGTATTCCTAATTCAATAATTAGTATGTAATTAAGGATTCAGTATAAGGTTATAGAAACAAATTACTCAATAAATTTGCACAATTGCCTGAAAAAATGCCAACAACGATGTTTTTATTGCAATACTAAATATTGCAAGATTGATAATATTTTAGCAAAAATATGAAATTAATTAGACATTTGAAACAAATACTTTAACGAGGAAACCAAATCGATTCCATTCTTTATCTTCGCCACCAATTATTGCTTGTGTACCTGGCAGAATCGTCCATATCATAAATAATCCAAGATTCATGAATATGCAAATAAATTGAGAGTTCATACTGGATTCAGAAGAATGAAAACTTTTGCTGGTAGTCAAGAAAATAAGTTTGAAATAGATGAAAAGATTGGTGAAAATTGTGAGAAAGTTTTGTCTGTTATTTGCTTCACTTAGAATATCAGCAAATGCTAGTGTGATTGCCGTTGATCGTTAGCATTGATAAAAAATGCAATGAAAAATTTCATTCTACATCAAATAAATTTGAATCGAAGAAGTCATTTCTACGGTGTTTTTTCTTTGTTTCAACTCATAATGGTAAATGCTAGAGGAAATATTTAAACTTCAATCAATAATCTATTTATTAATGATTAAAGTAATACCTCTACTGTGAGCTAAAGTAATAAAAAATAGAGTAATCATAAAAAATGAATTATAGTGAAAAAAGTTGCAATAAGGAATGTTTACCAGCGAAGTAAACAAATGCTTAAATATACTCATCTCTTTTAACATGTATTCAGAAAGTGGAATTTAAAATTAAAAAATTCTAAAATACACATTTTGAAATACGCAACACTAAAAAGATAATACTTAAGGTACTAATAATTAAAAAAGCAGGAGATAATACTTTTAGAATACCTCCATTTTAAACTGAAACACTGAAAATGAATTGTTGGAAATTGTAGGATACATTCACACTCAGACATCTGTATTTCTTCCGCAGGAAGTTAGCTACTACAGTCTTATGATAACTTTACTCTGTTTTAAAAAATGCCCAAATTACTGCTGTTATTTTCATTATTATAGTCAACTGCCAGTACAACATTACATAACCTGACATATACTAAGAAGTTAAAGCTGACTAATGGCTAAAATTAGGAATAAAGAAAAGCTACAAATACAAAGACAACAAGGAAAATTTCAGGACAATTATATTTGTTTATTAGCCAATAATACCGAAACGGATAAAACACAATATAGCTAACTTCCAAAAAAGTAAACTCTTGTATTAGATCATAGCTGATTCTAGTTCATAGCAGTGATATATTCTCTTTAACGAGATTATTTCATGCAAACTATTCCTGTAAGGGAACTTCAAGCGTGACTCCTGATATCAGTTCTGAGACAGTTTTCAAGGGTGTTCATTTTCCTTAAATCCCATAAAATAACAAAAAGTAGAAAGTGTTTAAACAGACATATAGCATCAATTTTGAGTGCATATAAAAGTTAAAATTTATTCGTAAATTAGATCTTTTCACCCAATCACTGAATGATTTCCATGTTTCAGAGAATAAAATACTTATTGGAAATGTGTAGAACATGCAAAAATTTACCATTTTATGGTGCTACATTTTATTATACAATAATGAAGATATTAACTAGTAAATTTAATATTTTGAGTCAATTTTCGAAAAATTAAATCATCATTATAAATTTTTTCGTTTAAACAAAGCATTAATGGTTTCCCATGTATAACAGCAGTAGCAAGTGGAAACCATAATTTCAACATATCCGGTGAATAATTGGAATCTACTACATCTTCGGCTCGGAACCTCAAAGCATTCTTTCCTAGGAAAAATCCAAAATGCACCGATGTGAAGATCTGAAAATGTCATAACTTCATTAGAGAAAGTTAGATATGATTGGATATCCCAAAATAACAAAGCAAATTTCACATTTAACTACAGATTTAAGACTGAAAAAATCAAATCTTTCGAGTCATATTGAAAATTCGAACAAATCAATCTATAGATTTTAATTTGCGCATTCCAAATCTAGAAAATAATAAACATAGTTCTTGAAAAATTCACAAATTTGCAGCTTTAAATCGATAAAAGTTCTTCATTTCCAAATAATACTGTCAGAAAAAAACATACCTCTGTTTCAGGATTGTAAAATAAATCAACTATATAACGTTTTACCAAAATCTGATGCAGTAATATCGGTGTGAAAGCATACAAAATGAAAAATGAATCCAGAACTAAAAATAAAAATTGGTGAGATAATTTTTCAGACCATAAGTTAATCACTTAATACATTTACTTATAATTAGATACACGTGCTGCAGACAGCATTTTGTCGGGCAACACACAGTGTTCTTGAGAGATTTAGTTTTAAACACAGTATAGTAGATTCTTAATAACAAACCCGCAGCAATAGTTCCAGTGCCTGGTTTCTGAGTTAAAATCTGCGACATTACAGGTATCATAGCCAGACTAATAGCTGAACTAGACAACGACAGGACCTAATATTAATTTATATGAAAAAAAAAATACAACAATGCCTGAAAAAGACTAAATGGTTATCGCTAGAAAAATTAATCAACAAAAACTAACTTTTGCTGCAAGTACTAATTTTGGTGGCAACATTCCACCATCCTTGAGAGATCTGTTCTTACTTGCATCGGTTAAAATCGAATAACCTAGATCAGAGACTGAAACTGTTCGCAGTGGTACAAAACTTCGCTGCACGATTCCGATATTTTCGCAAACAGCTTTACCTTGATTTGATATTCATTACTTTTTTCTAGTATTCTCGAGTACTAAATACTTATAACTCATCATATGAATGAAGATAATCACATTGTCGCAAAGTATTCATCAAAAAATTGAAAATTGCTATTCATCGCATAAAAATTACACAAAAATCTACTTTTGAAACGCTCATGCATCAAGTCAATCTTGTAAATAATGCTCTCATGTTGCTAACTACGTAAGATTAAACTATACGTATACAACAAAATCCAGGTACACAAAATAAGCTACAGGATATTGTATTCAGTGAATTCAAGACATACAATTTCGAAACTGCTAAAACTTTGCGCTGATAAGATGAAATCTCAAACTTACTATATTTTGGCTGAACTTTAGACAATTCTCGTACACAGTGCGGCGAAGAAATTTTGAGAAAATTTATCAAGCATGAAGTTCTACGCAAGGACATCAACAGCTTCTATCTTCAATTGGAAATAAAAAAGTACTGCAATCCAAAATTTCAGAACTTTAACTTGTCACGATGAGCTACACATAACTTCCAACTTTACAGAAAACTTTTTTTGTCGTCCTTTGCTACAAAGGCTATTATTTCTAGAAATTAATTAATTTTAAGAATTAAAGATCTGATCAGTAAACTATTTATTTACAAAAATAAGCCAGTTATTCACAAAAACTGGTGGCATAAAAAATACAAAATTATTATCAAAATTAGAAAACTATAAAAAACATGAGGTATTTGGTCGGAAGAACATGATCTCCAACGAACTGATGACATAAAAGATTTTGCTAATTAACAGTTACTTACACCTCCCAACAAAACAAAAACTTTTCAGCAAATGCTAGCTTTAGTTCAAACTTTGCAAAAAGATCTTTGAATGCATGGAAAATTTTGATACAGCCAATGAAAAATAAACCAGGTAAGAACAAAATCTGATTTTTGTAATGAGATGAAGAATTCAAAGCTTCTCCCCATTTACTTATTGATATTTCATTGTGATAAAGTATTTTTGTTATACATGAGTACAAGCAATAACAAAGCTACTCGAAAAATAAATTTCCTTGCACATGACATAAGTTTTTTTGCACTAGTCGGAAGAACATGATCATCGACGAACTGATTACAAGAAAGATTTCGCTAATTAACAATTACTAACGCTTTACAATAAAACAAAAAACTTATGCACATAAATATGAAATAACAAAAAGCTATTCCACTAATAAATAAGTAAATAAGAACAAAATTCAATAGCATTAAGAAAGATTACTTTAACATTAACAAAGCTATTCGACTAACAAATAAAAAGTAGAATTAAGTTCAACAGCATTAAGAAAAACTACATTGAAATGATACAAGATATCAAATTCAAGGAATTTTTTCTGATGAAACCAAAAAAAAAAACAGTAAAATATATCGAATGAAGAAAAGCTCAACTACTTCATGTATTTTTCTTCACTGAATCAATGACTATTCGTTTTTGAGCAGATGATTTTTTTACCTGAAATCATTGATTTAATCTACGAATTTAGTACCAAACGATTTCATACACTGATTTTTTCTTATTGAATATTTGTGTATTTGCGAATTCACTAACTTTGATAGGCTTTTCTCCTAAATTATCCATTCCTCGAACAATAAAGTATAGATCTGCAAAAAATACAGCAGCAGCAATTACTAAACCCAGAACCATTCGATATGTTATATCTAAATTTAAGCCCGGATAAGCATATCCAATTCCTAAAATAAGAAACAAATCACGAAGGACTTCGAAGTCTTTTTATAATTTCTTAATTAACTGGTAAATCTACTCACGAAGCGTTTTTAAAATGAATAATTACCAAAATATCCAAATGAAAATCCACCAGCTACGGTGAGAAGTGTATTCACAATAATCATCAACTGCCTGTTTACTGCTTTTAACTCCTGTAGCAAAAACAACTAGAATAATGAATCTTAATCACTTATTTCAAATTTTAAGCAAAGCTAGCTTCTATTCCTGTGCGTATCAAAGAGATAGAAAATTTTATTTTTTTAAATTTTATTATTAATTCATAATCTGCACAATGCACTCTTTGTATTGCTTATAAGAACGTGAATAAACGAGAAAAAAAATCCTCCCAAAGTAACTGTTCTATTTTCAATCTCACATTGAGTATAAAAATTATATTGAAGCAAATAAATTTGATAAAGAACAAGTTGAACTCATACCTCGCCAAATCCTTGCCATACATTTTCACGATCATAAATTTGATTAGGATCAACTGAACGAGTCATTAAAAGATATTCCCGATTCTCCTAAAATAAGGTAATTCTATGAATTATGAATGATCAAATAAACATTTCATTTTAACATTATTTTTACCAGGTGCCTCATTAACTGATTTTATTGTTTTATAGTATTCACTTCTATTTCAAAAATTTTTGTATTCCTGTCTTTTCTCATCGTGTTACTGATATTTACGTATCTTCTTACTTTGTAATACATTTATAAGAGTTACCCCACCTAAGATTTTACAAACTCGCCCTTTATTCTACTCTTATCATAAAATATTTGTCTTCAATACAATACTCCTCAAAAACTAACAATCTTACTTCACGAAAAAATGCTGCTTATGACTTAAGTGTCATTTGTCACCTGTTCCTGTTTTAGCCGTTTCAATCTACTTTCATACTTCGGATCAATCTTCTTTTCGACTTGAGGCACATAAGGTGTAACAGTATTGATAAACCTGTAAATTGGGAATTTCTCTGACAGTGGTTCCAAAACAGATACCATTTCATCGTAGCAAAATATCGTCTCCCCATTCTGTAATACAAGATAGATGATAACAAATAAATGATCCATTTATTCTTTGCCATTATTACTGTTACTCCTTTAGAATTGACTGATATTAGCACGAAAACTAATTCCACCACATTTTGGAAGGTAAGCTAAAAAATCAGTCGTTCTAATCTACTTCCATATCCAGATTCAAAATATAACACAGGACCAGATTAAAAACCACAGAACATTTTTTCCCCGGTTCCAATAAATGCATATGTACATTAAAAATGAATCATGAATTCCAAGTAAGCAACAAATTCTTTGAAATTATAAAAACACACCCTCCGAAACAAATATTTTTTTCATGTAACGATTCTGCAGCAATGATAGCACAAAATAAAGGTTTACTTTGTTATAATCAACTACACAAAAACCTGTCACTAATATCGAGACTGTAACGCTCCGGAAATAGAATTTTAGGGATATTTAACTGAGAACAGAATCACTTCACAAGCATGTTTCACCATTTTCTGTAGTCGACTGAATTGCGCATTTAATTTCACGTCATCCATTTCACCTAGCCAACTTTCCAACAACTTCAACCCCTCACTTGATGCTCGCCACATTTCTAGAAATCCATATGCAAATACTCTGAATTGTTAATCAGTTCCTTGCAAACATAACTACCCAGTTTGACGAAATAATGCTCACCAAAAATTCAATCTAACTGCACTAAGAAACCAAATATTTAATATACGTGAGCTACTAGGTAAAGAACTCCAACTCATCTCTACGTTTGTTGCAACAAAACATTCTAGTGCTCTGGCCAAACATCATTACCAACTTTCTATATCTCGAGCAATTTCTCCACAATCAGAAAAGAATAATCTTTTCAAGATGACGAGGAACTATACTTATGCAGAGAAATTGCCAGACAACTATCGCATTGCGTTGCAACAGTCAACGACAAATGCACTCATCCTTTCATTAAGTCTACAAGCATCGGCTTTCATTTTTCACCGCACGTATTCCTGGTATGAAATAAACAGCGATTTGCGCGTAACTACAGCATGGAACACGTCAGATTTCCAAATACCAGCTGGCACCATTCTATGAAAAAACTTTATGACTGCACAGAATTATCGCTACTACACATTTCTTTAATTGATGGTACAGAAAAAGTAGACATGAATATCAATAGTCAATTCTTATGCTGAAACGTCTTCAGATAGAAAGATAATACAGGAATTAAGTATAGGAAATACATAATATTATAAACAGTTACTTCCAAAAATAAAATACTTTCAACAAATAAAACCTAGAAAATAAATCGTGCGACGAGACCCGCAAAACTAGCAACTCCCTACTTTTTCTTACTAAGCAAGCCGAAATCTCACAACAATCTTCATAAGTCTTGCAAGCCAAAAAAATTATTTTAAAAAATGGATAAATAATATATGGGCTGGTAATGAATAATAAAACAATTACGATATGAGGTTCGTATCAAGACACGTTCTAAACCACTACACTTCATGAGACCAACATGCCACTTCGCAAAACCCACAATAACATTCACTAACAAAGCTGTCACGGAAAATGTGAAGATCTAGTTACTACGTTCTTTACAGGTAAACGATTGCAATGAAATTCGTTTGATTAGTAATAACTATATCCTTCCATAGCAAACAAGCCATCAACCAAATATATTAGAGAGAACGAAAATTATAGTTGCTTAAAAGCTTTCACTTTCTATGGAAAACAAACATTTCCACACTTCAGAAGCACATTTGCCCAATAAACAGGATATGTATTGAATATCCGAAATAAGTCACTGTACTTCCAGCTCAACTAGAATTGATAAGTCAGACAAGCATTAATGAAGTAACAAAGAATACTAACGAAACTAAACAAATCTATCTTGAAATTAAACACACAGCTGCAATGTGTTCTCAACACTCATGTGAATCAGCTGGACGTATTACATACATATAAAAACAATGCGAAAGAAAGTTTGAAAAAAAACCCAAACTTTAAGACTTCCATGATTTAAAAGCAGATTACATTACCATGATAACAACTAAAATAAAAAAGATGAAACGAAAGACAACGGGAGAAATCAAATTAAAAAAAAACCGGATAACAAAAAATTAGATAGAAACCAGCAAGAAGTAGAAATAAAACAGCCTTCCATTTCACTTTGGCAATGATAAAAGAATCACAAAAAACAAAACAAAGGTAATGTACATTTGAATTCCGATGCAAAATCAAAATATTGGCAGATAATTACTTAATTTCAGAAACAAATGCGAGGTCTTTCAATTTAGTACAATATTCACAAAAGAACTAGCCTATAGAAGCATCATACAAAATTTTTTAAAATAATAGCAACAATAACATTATATATTCTTGCTTCATTAGGAACTCTACCACTGCACAATGTAGAATGAAATGGTACACATTTAGAATAATGAAATACAAAAGCAAACAAGCCATCAACCAGATTGAACTTTTAAGAAGACACACGTTTAACCGTGCGATTCTTTGGAGGAGTTCCGTTTTGTGCGTCATTCACATTACTTCTAGAAACTTCTGGAGATTTGAATGCATTGCAGCGAATGTAGACCAAAATGTAGGCTTGTGTATTGTGTAAGTCATTTAAAGAAATTCTGTGGCGCTAAAGAAAACATGATTTTAAATGAAATTACTGACGCATGCAAAAAGATGATATATACTAAAGGAGTAACATTTATGAAAAATAAGATTTGCAGCTCATATTATATTTACTAGTGAAATATTAAAGCGAATCGCTACTACCACTTTAGACTCGTAATGGAAATTGGTTTATAAAATGAATACTCGTTCCTTACTTAATAAAAACTGTCACACTAAAGGATAAAGTTATAATCTGAAAACACAGTAATGTCAAAGCTCATTAAAGAATTAGGAGTAATATAATTTATGTCTCGAAAATCTAAGAAAACGAAATTTGCCAAGTTTTTAAGCATCCACCACTTTTTCAAAATTTATTTAACGAAACTTTATTGCCATACTACTAATAAAACGGGCTTTTTACCTGCTCATCATCCAGCAAATAAAAGCTTCTGCCATCAAAACTTCGTACGACAGCATTATAATGTCCATAATCGGCTGAATTGCCCAAATGTTGAATTACACCACTGAGATCATAGAGGTGCAATTCTTTTACATTATGAACATAACGACCCATATTCAATCTTACCTTCACGAAATTAAAAATTACAGTTGAAAATATTAAATAATTCAATGCTAAAAATCTTATTACAAGTGCGGTGAGATGACAAGAAACTGCTAAGGAAAGGACAAAAAACTGCATCATAAAAAGCACATACACTAAATTAAATAAAAAACTTTAAAAATACAATTTTTTTTTTTGATACACTTTCAATAGTTTGAAAGGAGAAAATTATGAACAAAGAAATTCCCTTACTTTTAAATAAGCGCTTAAGTAAGACTATATCACAATGTATGTAGCCTATATTACGCTTTAGATTTAAACCAACCAGATATCTTTGATAAGTAACTTACATTAAAATTAACTGGTATACTTATTTTAGCACCGAAAGAATTAAACCGCTTCAGCTGAATTATCAATAAATTAGGTGCACGCAAAACGCGTGAAGTACGCACAACTTGTATTGATTTTTTACACCTGAAGACTTGTTTTCAGATAACATTGAGTTTAGACGAGATTTTTTGATGTAACAGTACTTTTATCTTGCTTCACTAAGTTACCCGAGAAATGTTTTCCTCATCAACATACATAAATCCTTTACTATACTGTAAGTTAGCAGGATCAATATGCAAGTGAAAAATTACTTTTTGCAATGAAAACTATTTAAAACTTCGCTGCCAAAATAATCGTCTAATAAATCTTCTAGACAGATTCGCCTGGTACAGTCCTGCGTTTTTATACCAAGATTAAGTTCACGAAAGCGTTCATAATTTATGAGCAATGTAGAACAAATCGTGCACTGAATCTCATTCCTGAGGGTTCCACAAAACAGTTGTTCCACCGGTGTTAATAAACGTAAGTCACTGAAGTGAAAGGTATTAGTCTGAATTGGAGATAAATTGAAGACAATTTCCAACACAAATACTGATAAGCAACACTATAAACAGAGAAGTAATTAGTTATAATTTTATATCAAGAAAGCTCATACTTTAATGGACCATCAAAACCAGAATTTGAGGATGGAAGTCCCACACGTGCTTCTGCGTCAAGGGCATCTAATATATGATTTAAAGTTTCATGAGCATCTTCTTGTGTGTTGGAATAACGGCGTTTAAACGCTTCTGGAAACAATAAGAATTCTTCATCACGCGTCATTTAAAAATTCAAGAATTCTAATCATTTCTTGCTGTGCTTAAGTCACGGGTACTTATGATTTGAAAACGAAGTGAAAAATACTAGCTGAGTATGGTGAGATGAATTTTTGACACCAGAGAAATAGAAACCAATCAACAAAAAATACAGGACTATTATAAATGCTTTCGAATTGCTTAGAAATCTGAATTAAATTTTAAGCTAGCTTCGCATACGTTTCGTTTATGCTAAATCCATTTATATCTTCAAGTCAAAGATTTATTCATGAGTAAGAAGTACTACGATTTTTTTCTACTAATAAAGACCTAACCATCTAGGATATAACCTATCCAACTAGGTTTAAACGGTTGTTTGCTCGACATTGAACATCTTACAAACTTTGCAAAACTGCAAGTTACACAGTTCTTCACACCTGCAATTAAATATAATGAAAAAAAATTAAATCCTTGAAAAAATGACATATGATAGACGAAAGCATACATGAAAATAATCTGTTATGTTCTCCAAGGTATCTTGAAAATGGAATACAATGCACAATTATTTGTAGAACAGAGTTCATAAAGCAATCGTTAGAGTAATTACAAAGACCAACACCAACATTACGACCATCTGGATTCTAAAATTAATAAACCTTCTGATGCTTACAGTTGACACAAAAGAATAAGCATGGTTTATAGAAATCATTTACATCAAAATTAAGTAGAATCTTGTAATAAGAAATACAAAAATATTGCAAAAGATTTACAAGGACACAGCTTCCTTCCCATGTTGCATAAAATATAATACGATTATCTGGAGGTCTAACTTCTCGTTCATTGTTTTCCGACAATAAACGCTTCCGCTCAGATTTTCCGTTCTGAATAAAGTTAAATCAAAATCAAACAAGAGTTTGAAAAATCACTGATACTTAATAATATTCTTTAAACCAGTAAAATAGGAGAAAATAGTTCACACTTCAGCACTTAGGACTTAAAATTTCAAAACATGAAAAAGATAGCTCGTTATACACAGTAATGGGTTAGATATCTATTACAGTCATGAAAATGAACAGCGAGATGCATATGTAACTTTGCAAATGCAGGATATTCAAAAGAAAAAAACCTGATATCCACTTTTTAATGGTGATGATATAGGTTTACTGACAATGTCCATTCGCTTTTTTAAGCCACTAGCTGGTAAAAGTTTCGAATCAGGAGGCACAGCTTTAGAAGTCGAAGGCTCTTCATCATAACCATTGATGTTGGTAAAATTTGAGTTCGTGTTCATACGAACTGATAAAGGGCTAAAACTAAGTCAAATAATATATTCCAGTAATCCTGTTGTCATAGAAGTAATGCTCAAAATTTCCCTCACAAAACTGATGAAATGAGAGCACTGATCATCTGATATCAGAACTAATAATGACTTAAATTATTTGAATCCGAATGCAAAGTCACAAATATTAAAATTTACTTGGGTTTTCCAGAGACAATATTTGTACCAGAGGAAGAATCTTGCACAGCAGCTTCTGAAGTTGGAGAGCTGCTCGAAGACTGTTTGTGCTGCTGCTTCCCATTAATTTTGTGTTTTGCATCTACTATTATATTGACAGGAATGGATGATGTGCTTATGCCACTTACACTTGAACTACGTGATGATGATGATGTTGATGATGTAGTCAATTTCAATCGTTTTGCACTACAGTAAAATGAATGAGAAAGCTCAATATTCTACCTTTCTCAAAGAACTATGTATAAAATTAATTATTGGTTGAAAAAAGAATATCAAATCGTATTCACGGACATTTATATATGACTGAGCATGTATGTGATAACTGCTGTGAACAAGACAGTGCAGTATTCACAGCAGTTATCACATACATGCTCAGCCATATGTTAGACTGATCTGTAAGAACAATTGCTGATTCTTTCATAAAGACAAACTTTTGTTCATCTTTAAGTCAGGAAACAGAAATCATTTTTAACCACTCTGTAAAAACCTACATTTATAAATATAAAAGTATGATTGTAGAAATAAACCTTCGAATAGGAGGTGATGATGAACTATCTCGATAATTTGTCTGAATCATATGTAAACCTGTCGACTGTGATGATGGAGACAAAGATGCGTTTTCAAGTGTCGATCCTGAATTGGCACCTTAAAGCTGTAGAGAATAATACCATAACTAAATTTGATAGCAGCAAACAGTATTGCAGAATTATTCGTTGCACAATTTTTATAGCATTATCAGTCTGAGAATTAATATGTCTGACATATTTCAATTTTCGAAACATAAATAAGCATAACAAAAGCATTGCTCTGATAGTCGAATTCTCTTGACCAATCACTAAATCTTTGAAAAAAAAGAGGACAAATATAAATTACGATTCCCAACTGCTTTGGTTCCCTCTTCACAACCATCTTTTCCAGACGTAGGCGAATTTAGAACGGTGCAATTTTTTGTAGCTGGTCCCATTACTGACTGCCTTTCAGAGTCAAAACTTTCACTACAAGTAATTTTATTGTACAACATGAATGAAATAGGACTTGGACAGAACGGAAAAATTCAAGATCTTAGTGATACAAGCAAAATTGCAAAAATTATTGCAGTCAGTTACATAATGAGATGATTTAAATGAACTCTTATGCTTATGTTTTGAACATAGAAAAACATGGAAATAACGATGACAAAACTTATTACAAAAATTAAGCGTAATGTTATTGAAACGAGAGTTCTTGCAGATGAAATCAAATTCTACAGTACACATTCCCTAAATTGCTATCCCACTTATTCCTCAATAAAACATCGTATCATAATACAAATAAGCAAAAGTCTAATATCAATGAGTTCATCATAATTTAACAATATATCAAAAAAATTCAACAACATTTAAAAGATAAAAAGACAAAACAAAAAAGGTGAAACCTTGATTTTATGAACGGAATATAGGCTTGAATTAATGCAGATGGATCAATGTGAGCCATGAAAGGATGAGAAAATCGGAAACAACAGATGTCATACGAATATTAATTGTCCACTGTACTACTTCTTTTGACGGATCTATCGTTGATGACCGATTGCAATGAAGAAGCCCCAAGAGTAGTCGAATACTTAAATAGTTCATGTTATCCACTTAAAGAATCAATTCCATTCCAAAATTTACTAACACAAATGACAAATGACTGACGCTTCGAAGGTACTGAATTAGCAGATATAATAAGCTTTAGCATGCATGAACTACCATTTGTTATTGATTCAAATTAATGGAAGTTATCGTCAATCATTGTATATAATGCAGGTGCGTTATTGAAAAATTTTCCACTTTATGAGTGAAAAATGAAAATTTTTTCTTCTTAAGATCTATTCACTTTTATATTATGACTGGAATTTCACAAACCTAGTAACAGCAGAGTAAGTTAAAGAATCAAGACGAAATAATTATGCGCTCGTGATGTTCGATAAGAAACATTTTAAATTTGAGACAGCTGAAACTTTTTAGTTGCTCCACCAATAATAAGCGTGGGATTAAAGTAGTCACGTACCAAAATCAACATGTCTTGTTACTTAAAAAATGAATGTATTACTATTAGACTGAGATGGACCACAGCTAATCTACCTCTGACTGTGACCAAGAGATTTCCTGATGCGACTATGATGATGGAAAGATCTTAACACTTAATATAGTAGAATATGCCCAATTTTGGAGTTGGGAGGATAAACAAAGAGATCTTTTAGTACTTGGGCTCTCCCTTATAAACTAAAACCAATAGTGACATCGCGATATTACACCAAATGTCCCTACATTACTAAGGATCGAAATAACTTGCAACTTGAAATCAAGATACTCCATCATTAGGAATCTTATGTCCTCTTGTAAAACCTACTCAATCCTAAAATCTAAATGTTCCAGCGCTGAAATATGAGCATCTACAACCAGGTCGAAGTGTTCTGGTACTACATTTGGAATATCCCAGTACTAAGATCAAGATGACACTTAGAATGAAATGTCTTACAATCAAAAACTAAGATGTACAAGTTATCTTAAAAATATATCCAAAATTGTTATAAGATATCCTTCTATGAAGGTCAAAATATGTAAGTATTATAATCTAAATCTAAACATAGCACAAAACGGATAAAGATTTTCCAGTGTTAGGACCATCATGCCAGAGCGCTTATATTACGAATTCTCAACACTGACAATAGGAAAAGAGAGCAATAAGATGTACAGCAACAAAGTGATTAGTGGTACTTCAAGTACTGAGGATGTGCTAGCATAAAGTATACACATTCAAGTTCTACGACCCTGTAATTACTAGTAGCTCCTGCACTATATATATATATACATATATGTATAAAATAGTAATAAATCGGTCCTCATGTCTCTTGCTTTTGCCAACACTCACAATAATAAGTTCCGTAGGTACAAACTGCTGAAAGTGTCTTCAGGGATATTTCTTCTGATGTTAATTCATGACATTCCACATGAGGCCTGATAGCAATTAGTAAAATTGATTAAAAATTGAAGGTTATCTTTACTTGCACGAATATAGCGCTGTTAGTCAAAAAGCAAATGTTTAACAAAGAAACGCTCGTTACGAAAAAATCCCACCTCACGCACTACAAACAATACTACATACATTACTAATAAATGCAAAATATGACTAATACCGAAAGGGTGACATGCAAACTTTTGCATGCATATTTTGAGCGAGTTCAACGTATGCGCACGTGACTGCATACGTACCTACAGGACCCGCCGAGCAACCTATATGAAACATTGCTAATTAAATGAATGGAAACAGCCTACAGTATGCTTTCGCGTGTCGGAACCCACATCGCTTTGACAATATTATTTCTCTTACTCGAAAAATCTGTATTCTCCTATGTGATAATTATATGTGACCAGAAATTACTTCATTTTTAATGAACATCTAATTACAAAAAACAAAATTCACAGCAATAACGGTAATTCCTATACATAGTATAAAGCTGCAACAGTAAACAGCTATAGATTATCGATGTTGACGCGGCGCCTCTCCTCAAACGCGTCGCACAACAACGCGCACGTATTCAGTGCCAACGACCATTGGAATGTTGTAGTGAGCAATGAGGGAGTGATTGGCATTTGCATACTATTAACGACAAGAAAATAGTAAGGACATCCCATGTTTGTAGGTTACCAAATTTAGTTAGATGGTACAGTTGCAGAAGAAGATGGAGTACATAACAATGCGGGATACTTCGCATATTTAAGCTTCCCATGTTTCGGAATGGAATATTATGGTTTCCTACAATAATCAAGTAAACGACCAGAATTTAAAACCGTTTCAGATTTTCTTTTCCTTAGGGACAAACTCCATCCACTCAGAACTTATCCACATTATCACAGTGAACAGATGATAATCCTTAAACCGTCGTTACACATAACTGGTTCGGAATATGCAAGTTGCAACTGAAGTCGAGCATTATAAGTTTATAGTAGTAAGTTCAATTAAATTATGTAGTGATATTATTTTTCTGTCACAAGTAATAGCTGCTTGCAAAATTAAGTGCGAAAAATTTCTTAACGTTGAGCAGATAACGGATTGTTAACGAAGTGGAGACACGAAAGAATAAGAAGCAATGGAGATATATCATTAGAATGATGAGATATACTCTGTCAGCAGACTCGATTTATCATCTGAACATTTTATGTACTTTGGTCCATAGAGTTCAAAAGATGACCGATGAGCTTCCGTATGAGGTATGCCTGCAAAAAGTAGTTTTCTGATTCTTGCAGTAGTAGCTGTGCTTTGAATAGCTTCCTCAATTCGTTTCTATCTTTTAATTAACTGATTCCTTCATTACCACTTCCATCAATTTGGTAACTAGACTTATAAACCTTGAGACCAGCTAGATTGGAGTGCCATCTGCTTCTGCTGAAGTCGCAAAGTTGTTTTCATCTCAATTGCTGTTCTATGATTTGTTTCATCAGCATCACCAGTGCGATCGTAAAGGAAATGATAAAATTGAATTATTTTTGTGTCACCATAACCGTCATCTGCAACTTTTGAACACTAACAAACTGAGAAACAAAAAGTGTCAATGATGAAATGTATAAAAGCACCAGTGAAGAGGAAAGAATCTGCTTATAAAGATACAGTTTGCATTTTCCCGCTACCATGAGAAAGATAAATTTAGAAACACATTAAAGTAATAGAAGCCATGACAGTGAAATATTACCACTGCTGAAAATGGGAATTACCGCGCTCAGCTAGAACGGAATCTTCTACTTTCAAAACTGGATTCGGCGTTTTTTGTTGGATAATTAAATTTATCCTGAAAAAAAAATGTTGCACCAAGAAGAATTCATTGAATGCTCATAAAGCAATGCACAAATAAGCTTTTTTTCTCTGAAATAATCTGTGTTCCTGAAATAAAAGAATCAACTCATACAGAATCATCTGAATCTTATAACCACTACAACAATCAAATTTATGTGGCGGTTCTTTGACTCAAAGAAATAATTTATTATAAATAACTACAAATATGATTCACATAAAATCTTTACTTTTTGTGAATTGATCTAATAAGAAAGAATATATATCATGTCCCTGTTCCTTTAATGTAAGACTAAGGTTTTATCACTATTCTATTCAAGTATTCCATTACTGATAATACAGTAACTTGAATGATTTTTAAGCACATCCTTGGAAGAAGTGTACAAAGAAAATACTGAAAAAAGGATGCAAATGTTCATCAAAGTCACATCACACAATGATTAAGAATTACAGTAGATTTCTCTAAAACATTAGTGGTGAATCTCAGATAATCCAAATCATGTGACTAAAAAACTAGCTTGGAATCGTATAACATATTTAGAACTGATTGTACAAATCACTTATCAAACGAGTAAATGAAACACGATATAACAAATACACCTAGAAAATTTCGTACGAACTGCAGAGAGATTGTGCAAGACCAGATTAAAAGATAAGATTGTTTGGTTCCATGTTTTCAACAAAAGTGTGTCACATTTCCTACTATCGCTGCCCATAATTTAGGTATAATGTTGAGACTGAAATCTGAAACATTTACTTATCATTCTTCTTGCAAAATTTCTCATTTCGAACACAACAAATCGTAGCCATTTGGAACCACTAAGAAAACTGACAAAAACTTCGGCTGTATATTTTCGAAAATGCTCCAATGACCACTTTGTAGTTATCAACATAAATCAATAGCAACATCGAACCTTTTACTTAACACAAGTACCAATGGCTGAAGATTTGCAACCAGAATGAACAAATTTATAACTTATAACTATAAAAGTTTTTACTTATTTTTTAATTCAATCAGAACATGAATCCATTTTAAAAAAAGCAAAGTATTTGGATGGAAAAATTATTTCCATTATATAATTCATTGCTTTGCTCTGTCACCAGCTCATCCACTATTGATTCCAGCAACGAAAAACTTGAAAAATAGGAGTAACAATCTAGATACTTTTTAAAGACTTGGGAATAATCAACATTTATTTAATGTTGTATCATTCTTAAACAGAAAAAATGATTTGGCACACATGAGAAAAGTAACTTCTAAAAACTGCAGTTCAGTTACGAGAATTTCCTATCCTTTCTATCCCAAATTTATAACTTAAGTGGTTTCTATATTTTTTATACCAAAAAATGTATTCAGATCTCTAAATAACAATCATACATCTTTCTGAATTGCAAGAAAATGATAAAAACAACGAAATTAAAAATTCACATAGTCTTCATAAGGCTATCAATTTTAGAAAGTTTAAAAATGTGATAATTCTCATAAATAACAACAAAAAATAAACCTAAGAAGTTAACTTCTGGCAGAAACATGAATTTTAGATTGTCATAACATCGCCAGTGCTTGAGAGTTCACCGCAATCTCTCCCTTTTTTATATACTGATCCGCATATTTAGCAACCTAGAATAAAAAAAATATTTTGATAAAAATCAGGCATCCAAGTATTATAAGACAATTTATTTATGGTTCTGAGCTACGAATTACTTGAAAAAAATTCTGTTCCCTAATTTGATCCTCGCGCTAACTTAAAATTAACTTTTTCTTCCTATACACGGTATAACTTACTAGATCTAATCGATAACGATAGTTGACCATCAAACCATAGCTGCGTTCCATTCCTTTCGTAGTTGTATCAGCTTTCCAATTTATAGAATAAATCTCTGCACCGTTTCGCAAATGGAAATTTTCTGGAAAACTTACATTTATAGAGAAATTTCCAATTTAAAAAAACAAGCCACATTCAACCATGTAAACTTTCATATTTCATTGAAAGAGTAAGACTAGGAAAATAACAAACCAACAGGATCAAAAACACGTCCTGTTCCCGTATGCTTTATCTCCACTAGATAGCGAAGTGCTAAATGCATAATAATCTCAGAAATTTCTTCAAGCCTAGAAATCATATTGAACATTCATTAATGAAATACTGCTCATTGATGTTCTTTTCTTCATACTGCTCATAACTTTTTACAGTCTTGCAGTGACACAATCTAAAACTATATCGTTACAACTCAACGACAAAATTTCATGACAAACCTCATACTCTCTGGTCTTCTGAAAATTTTATAAAAAAAAGCAAAGTTATAAATACTGGTCATCTCAGGTACTAGTTTCGAACCTCGTTTACTCCTCTCTCGAAATAAGTGAATATTTTAGATACTTACCATCAACTAAACATATTTCTATAAAGCCATTTTATACATGAACTTTTTTTGAATCCAATTTCATTTTAATATTAAATATTACATCATACTTTTCTAAATTTATCTGATTTAAGTGATTCAATAAAAACAATCGCACAAGCTCCGGCATGTTGATATCTCCTTTGAAAGATTCATTTTCTTCACATATTGCCATCAACCTTTCATCAATAACATCACCTAAACATGTAATATAGTAATTACATTCTAGGAAGAGATAATCTATGTCATTTTCATTTACTGACTCTATAAAATATAGTATTCTCATATTACTTGTAATACATTCACACAGATCAGTATATAAAATTAAAGCAAGCCAATAATCTCACGATAACAGTTTAAAGAAGCATGTTTATAGCTAGATTTTGAAAAGAAAAAATTGCTCATCCAACCTTAAATTTTGAAATATACCAACAATTGAAACAACCACAAACAATCGAATCTTATTGGCATATTATTTTCACAAAATATTTTGAACTGTCATTACAAGTTCTTGTTCTCTCAACTTAATACTTACGATTATAGTGTAAAGCATAACTATAAAAAAGTTAAATTCTTAACCAGATGGTGCTGCACATTTTAAGGAACGCAGAAGCCATGAACGAAAATGAGGCATTGGTGACAATGTTCCAAAAGTACGGATATGTGGGTTGGTGTTTAAAATCTCGGCAATAACCCGTTTTATTATCATATTACCCAAATCGATACCCCTCAAACCTACAACAAATGATCAAAGATATATTCATAAAACGTAATTTGAATAGAATGATGAAGACTATTACAAATACCTGGTTGTATTGATGATATGGAATAAAATACAGCAGTGTTATTCAAACTTTCGTTTGCGATTATGTTAGTTACATTCATTATCTCCTAAAAAGCTAACAATATTACAAAAACTCTTTGAAAAAAAAATTAAAAAATCAAACCTAACAATTTATTACTTTGTAACATACACTATCCTCTATTTACAAAGTTCATATTGAAAGTAGTGTAAGAAATTTTTCACAAGTGTAAAAAGTATATTTTCATTCACCAAGAGCGATAAAATAAACCATTAAAAATTCATTATTTTTGATTGATCAAAAAAGTGTTAATGAACAATTCTCAAAACTTATTATCGTGTCGAAAAAATAATAATACAATAAAACATGTGTCAGGACTTTAAAATTATTTATTATCGCGTTAAAAACCACATGATAAACGGATTTGCTAAGCAATACTAAAGCTGAAAATAGACAAGTTAGATAAACCTCCATAGACTTGGCAAAATTTTGCATGAACGCAACATAAACGACTATGAGTGGCTCAAAAGACATTGCTTCATGCATAAATACAAAACAACGTCGATTAGGACCCAAACGGCGCTTCATATCAAGTAAACTCGCAATTGGATGCACTGCTTCATATTTCATCACCTGGATTGTAAAGTTAACACAGTAAAGCTTTTATCAAGCAGAAATTGAAACAAAATTATCATACTAATAAAAGTTAATATATAACAAACATATAGGTACAACATTCAGCAATATGAATAATTATGTAAATGTCATATGGCTGTCATTGATGACTACAACTTAAAAAATCTTAAGTCAGCAAATTTTTAAACAAAAACTTTCGAAATAAGTTTAAGAGCACAAAGTACACTAACCTTATCAAGAATTTCTATCGGTGAATCAACCTTAAGCTGTTGTAGACGCAAATTACTCTGACAGAACCAGAGCGTCAATAAATCACGCAAGCAACTTTCAACCGGTCGTAAAGCTGCACTCTCATTTCTTGTTAAATTTGATGAACGAAGCATTTCCTGCGTATAAAAATTTGTAGGAAAATAAATTATAATTATGAATTTCGATTTACTTCTTACTCCCTTAACTCTAGCTATAATGCAAATTTTACTATTGATGTTTCTTAGCGATATTATGAATGCTTTACGCACCAAAACGTCAGCACGAACAAAACATATTTGTTTGATACCACCTATAAGATTGCCGACAGACTGAAACAGATAGAAATACCGAGGACGCACTGCTGACCCGATATTCATAAATCCCTGTTCATTCTAAAAAATTACCGAAATTCATTGCTGTTTGCACTTTTTTTTGATTTCAAGATTGTTATTTACTCCGTTAATATTTCGACAGAAAAATATTATACTTGCAAAACTCATAAATCATTTCAGATTCCGTTTTGCATAGCTTTACCAATGATGATATATATTTTTTGTCGTATCAAAGCTGTCAGTTGATAAAACTACGAAAAAACTTATGATTTTTTAACATAAATATTTTACTTAGTTAAATAAACAAACTAGCATTAAGGAGAAAAATGAGCAGACCTTCTTATAAACAAGAATAGCTCGTTTCAATGCTTCATGATTTACGCCAAAATTTTGGGAAAGTTCCGTCAAAATCGAACGCCGCTGCGGTAATGATAATGTAAAATATTTTTCCACAAACTTTTCACCAGCTATCTAAAAAATCTATAAGTTTCAAATTTAATGAAAAAAAAAGTTAGATATATCACAATTGAAGTGAATGAAAGTTTACCGATTTACAATCACGCAAATATCATTAATCAAATCTCTAAATGATAGAGAGCACTCTATTAGCATTAGATTAGATTAAATTCTCAAGATTGAAGACCCCGAATCATCTAGCAAAGTTAGCAGTAAACAAAACGTGAGCGAATTTTTCTGATCATAAAATTAATTCCTGCAAAAAATAATCTTAAAAACAAATAAATAAATAAATAAGTTGTTACACGCCATTGGTCCGATGATGACTGAGAAGTAAGATTATGGCATAATTCTCCAATAAAAGTCGAAAATTTAAGCCGATGGAAGGAATGGACAGCCAATATCAAGATGTTTCGGGCTACTATATTTGTTCGTTTTAATGAATGTAATAAATATGAGTGAATCGACTGATTAAGCATTACGTATCTAAATTATTTAACAATAAAAAAACATGTCACATAAAACGTGAAGGATTTCGAAAATACAAGTAACACGTGAACCTAAACAGTGATAAGCATATTGCATAAGTATGAATATGACACACAAAAGATTTGAGTACAGCAGTAGAAAAGCAAGCGTGGCTTATTTTGCAACAAATATCTCACGCCTTATTTTGTTTTAGAAATATTGACGTAAATTGGATTAAGGTATATAATTCTTGACAAAATTCAACACCGAAATCACACAAAAATCTTTACAATATTGCTAAGACTACCACTACTTACACTTAAGTGAAATTTGCATTCGTCAAAAAAATAATTATTTATAAATTTTTGTATTATTTGTAAAAGCTGACCACTCAGAGGCTATTATCTGTGACATATTCAGTGCTCTACGACTTATCCTACTTGTAACCAACTGCATGACAGTTCTTCACAATCCACGTTAACTTTGCTCTCAGATAATAGACTATTATGGTATATCTTAATCTCTGTGTATGTTAACAGATGCAGAGCTATCATGAAATGCGAACGAATAATTGATTGCCTCAGTGAGAATAAACTCGTGCACAAATTGCTACACATTTTAATTAATTAAAGTATTATCTGGCTATGAAGGTGTGCTTTGTAAAAACCTAAATCTCAGCACAAGAGAAGTAGAGTTAATCTAGCTGACATGCATACACATCAGCAGTTCATGCACATAAATAATAAATATATTTTCAACTGGAACACCGCAAGAGTGGTACTTTAACCTTTCTCTTCCCCGATAAAACAGTAAACAGTAATAAGTAAGGGAGTACTGGTAGCACAGTACCTGTACCTGATTGAATACATGAGTGAATCGTTTACTTTCACCTCTGAGGATCATTTTCCAATAACTGAGTAATTGTTTCCATAGCAATACTGGTATCACTAGATTCCAGTAATAAAATGCAAGTGTCTATTCCTATTTACTTCTGCTTGTTCCGGACTTACCACTGTTCTCCATAAAAATAATACCCTTAGCAAATGTTACCATATACCAGAAACGATCTGTTCCCTCTACAACCAAGATAATGCCTATAAAGCGCTCTTTTCACTGTGCTAAAATATTAAGTATTCTGCGTATTTGTTAATCCGATTAAATGCAATCTTTGCAAGCAGCAAAATGAGAGTTAAATACCTCAACACCACACTCCATGCGTAATTCATCTGAATGTTCCGTTTCCTCTGATTTTTTATCGAAAATTAGTTTCTGACTAAAACAGTGCAAATTAGTAACTGCAACTGCACCTTTTTACTATCTACACCATGCAATTGTATACGATGCTGAATTTTTGTAATTCACTTTGAATTGAATTGTGACAGTAATTCTGATTGCTTCAGTGCTTTTAACTCTCCAAGTACTTGATGAATGAAGTGTTGTCTTCCGAAACTGAAAAGTATTTCTTGTGACAGCACTGCTTCATTACACTCCTAGCACACTCTTCATCTCCAGTCGCATTCAAATTCCCACAGCAGTGTACCAACTGGGTCGTGAGAAAATAAAACTTACCTTCTCACCAACATAATACTTACTTAAAACATTTACAAATAAGCATATTGAGATAAGTGTACCACACTTAATTAGCTCCCTACTTAATCATCCCTAGAAAATAGCAGTTTGATACACCATAATAAGTTTTCCCGGTAGCTCCGTGTACAATTTGGAATTTATCCACTCATAGTAAAGCTCTTCCGGTATTTCTCCTAAAAGTATATCTTCTAAACTGCTTGGCAATTTTATTCTCACACAAATCCTTTGTCATCAAATGTCCACTACAATTCAATATACCATTACGTGTTGCAGGTCGTTTATTATTTTCAGATGTTGATGAGAATGAAAACTTGGCTAATACTACATATCATACATGGTATAATTGCTCGACCACCTGAGGAAATCAAACAGACAATCAGATCAACTTCAAATTTTGAAAATCACACAGTAAAGACAAATTTAATATTTACTAACAACTGAAGATAACACAAAACGTGAGATCTTGCAAACTATGATTTCACAATAGACATTAATTCGAAATCCTTAATGGTAAAGAATAAATTTAGAACTAGTAAGGTCAAAGTTCAATATGCTTTCAAAAGCATTTGTCACTCAGAAATTATCATGATCAAAAACTGTAATTTTCAGAATCATTCAGAACTAATTTCTAGAAACGACAGTGATGTTCAGATAAATAACTTAGTTTTCGATAATGAAACACACAGAAGATTACATATGGACCAACATGACCAATTTCGTAAATTACTGTCCAAGAATGAAACGTGCAAAAGCAAACAAGAAAACCAGAACGGACCCGGATTAAGTTCTGAACTCCCCGAATCAACTTCAAAGTTGCAGAAAACATGTGATGAGCACCATGTACAGAAAATGAATCAAGCTAAAATAATACCTTTGATTGATTATTATGATACCCAAAGTAATTCTGATTCTGAAGGTGTAATATCTTTCTCAGCCGTTCAAAAGTACAAAACAATTCAAAATAATCAAAAAGCTAGAAAATCTAGGAATTGTAACAAATCAGAGCAAACCACAACCACCAATTCATTCCTGTCCTGTTGCTTAAGATTTTTTTGTTATACATGTATGGATCATAATAATGTACAGCAATATTCATATCGAAAAAACACTGCTTCCGATTCAGAGGATGAAACTGTTTTTACGAGTAACGATATGATTCTTATGGCCCACCCAGCCAATTTTTGATACCAGTTAATTTATTAACCATGATAAAATAAATACATAAATTGTCAGTTTTGTTCAACTTAAATAATCATCTCATGCCTCATGATAAAAAGCGTAAATAAAAATTAGCAGTGTTTCAACTGGAAAAATAATGCAGCTCTGGCCAGCGTAATAATTAAGTGAACAATTTCAAAATAATATAAACACATATTGATCACATTTTTGACTTAGTTGGTACAGTTCAATTTACAATACCATAGCAAAAATAATATAAAAAATAAAAACACATTTTTAAGAATGAAAGATACAATTATGAGAAACCTATGTAACTTGAAGTCAAAAATAGAAAGCAGATTATCTAGCCAAATTTGGCTACTAATTTGTTCAATATTTCCTTTACTCCCCATTTTTTGAATGCTCCATTAAGTAATCAACTACTAAATCCAACATTTTTTGGGCTAGATTTTGAAATGTCATTGGAGTTTTTGACTATATAATATGCTGATAATATACAAATGATCTAAAAAAATTATAGATATGACCCGAACAAAATTGTTTTAATTTAAAAAACACATGATAGTAATCACTGATTCAAATCCGGAACATGTGCAACTTTCCGCTTCTCACGTGTACCCGTTAAAGTTGACTTTACTTCAGTAAGAGAATATGGTACCATTCGTTCACCAAAATCACCAATACTACTCACTACACCCAACTCTTCTTCTGCAATACTGAGCAAGTATGACCGTTGATTATCACCGAAACCAATGACGCGTGCTAATATCACATCACCTGGTTGTACATAGTCTGGCAGTTTTGTCTGAAAAAACTATTTGATATTGTGCATTTAATTAAAAAAAATTAATATTAAATTTTTTATTGCCTCACACAGACCCTCTTCATTAACACTTCAGCAGATGAACAAAAAACATATATTTTATGCCTATTATTATTTTTTACGATATTATGCAGAAACTTATCAACCATGTTTGAAGTTAGCAAATTAAAAAAATTAAGAACATTACTTTCTCATTTTCATGGGGAATTATATCTCCTTTCCTCAATATTCCAGAAAATTCATGGGACAAATGAGAACATTCTATACAATGTATTGTGCATTTAGCAAACCTGTGACCGATGTTTTGGACCTGAAAATGTCATTTGCTAATCATAAAGAATAACATTAGATGCAGAAATCTTTTATTTTAACATTTTTTCCAGTTCGCTCCTTTATTAATACTTGTTTTATATCGGAAATGTATATGAACGATTAAAATCATAGTTCTTGATCTCAAAAATTTCCCATAATACGAATGCCTTATCACATTATTCCGAAAACATACTTTGCCTGTTACAACACACCCAACGTACGGCATTACATGCCCCTGCTCTTTTTCTGATTTTTGCCGTACTTCTACCACTTTTGTATTACTGTCTTCCTATAAGATTATTACCAATTTTCTAGAATAACAATAATTTCTATATGAAATATAACGGTGCTACCTTAATTTTTGACAACTGCGAATTTCAAGGAAGCATTTCTTCTTCCTATGAAACCTGCATTTTGCAATTAATTAATTACTTATGAATTTACTTGATCATATCTACAAAAATCTTTTCAGAACTACATCTACAGGAATCAAAAGCATTAGTAAAGATGGGAAACAACTGCTCTCTACAGAACTAATTCAAAGTAATATTGTCAATCGCCTCCTAATTAATTCATAAAAATAAACAACTTTAAATTAATACATTTTTAAACAGCATCAAATATCTTTAAGTAAATATCAAAATATGATTCGAAATGCTTAGTGTCTATCGAAGTTATAGAAACAATTTACTAAGATATATAAAATATACATGACTTGATGAAAATATCTAACTTACTCTTGAGATATTTTTATGGAATCATGTACATCTCATACCAGTATTATAACACAAGAATAGCAATAATGGAATAGTAACTTAATTAGCATATTATCAGTGAAATTGACCATAATATTAAAATTCAATGAGATGGTAGCTACTTGTATTATATATATGCATTTCTTAACTAGTCTTGACTCCTTTAATAAGCAAAAGTAAAAAACAAACCTCATTTACGTGCAGATGCAAATTGCCAGCTAAAGATGCATAAATATGTCCAAAGAGTTCATATGTGCCAATACCAGCTTTCAAGAATTCTGTGATGGGAAAAAGCCGATCTCCGGGTATCACAAACTTGTTTTCGCTCTCTTCAATGCCGTTACTATCGTGAACTACATCCATCTAAAATATTTACTACTGCATCCCAACAAATGTTATTTGTAAAAGACAAGCACTGAACGAACTTACTCTTGTGTCGTGATTTTAAGTTTATAACGGTTTTAAAAATTGAGTCAAGGAGCAAATAGAATTTAGAACAAAAAATAGTCCTCAGCAGAGATAATTGACTGCTCATAGCTAAAAAATTTCATCGAAAAAACACTGCGCGACGAGAGTACTAGAGAATGACACGACTTCAAAAGAGTGTGTAATATGAGTAGGAATTAAAGGTTGATAAGGAAAAAGTAATTTGTTTTAATGAAAAACAATAGACAAGTAGGGAAAATTAGCTACAAAGATGGTCAAATTCATGGCAGGTAATCATTAACTGTGATATTTTCATGAATATAGAAAGGAATATAGTACAGGAAATGAAAATGGAGCACGCCAAAACAAGAGTTTAAAATCTGCAACAGCTCAATTTGCGACGAAAATCGGTGCATTTTGCGATTACTATGTCAGTGTATTTTAAGTATGAAGCAAACAATAATGTTTGGTCATAAAGTTGGCATACTCTTAAGATTTGCTTCAGAAGTAATTAGATGTAAAGTAGGGGCCCGTAACTTTAGGAAATCCAAATGAGCAAGTAAATAATGTCCGTGACTTGTCAGGAGTTCCTGATCTTCAGTAAGGTAACTTTTATGACGGGCATGTCAACTTTGTGACTGTTTTAGGAGTAGCAGATATGGGACCAGCTAAACGAATTCTCATGTTAAATTAACTGTTAATTGAAATGTTCAGTTAGATAATTGTTAATTGAGCGAAGTGAATGTGTAAATAATTTTAAGTTTTACTATTTTTTGCAATGTAAGTACATGACTACAAAAGATGCAGTTATCTACCACTACAAGAGTGTTATTTCATATAAGTTTAAATGTTATTGTAAATTCAAATATAATGGACTCACAACACTAAATGCAAGGTTGCTTCTATAATTTGGAGTAAAAGTTGAGAGTAATTCTTAGAATCTCTTAGATTTCAAAAGAAATTTCATTTTCTAAAAATTTTTTCGTATATTAGCTTGTTGTTTTCAGCCTTCTAAACTTCGAAGTTGTCTTTCTTGTGCTGTCAATGAAATTTTCCGTCATTCAGTATTGCTGATATTTTGTCCATCGCGCAGAACTGCAGATTATGATTGGACGTGATTCGTCACGATTGCCATCATCATTTCGTTCAACGTTGTCATTTCAATCGTTACTACCACCAGCCTCATTATCAGCATTTCCTCAACCTTCTTCTTCTTTTCTACCTACTTTTCTACCTGACTCTACAGCACTACATCTGATAAATAATAATATGTCAGGTGATTAATGATGCTTAACTAGAAATTAATACTTTTTTGGGATTTATGTGTTCATCTTTATTTTTTTGGCAGTTTCTTTCAATCCATATTTACATCCATTATGTAATGCATATTATCACAGACGGTCGATATTGATCAGAGTATCATAAAAATAATAATTGCTTTGTGGTTGTATTAGGAAACTGGTGATCACGTAGTATATTAGTCTTTTTTGTGTTTTCTCAGTCGTGAAGATAATTTCAAAATGACATCCTTATTTCAGGTTATTGGCAGAACGCACAGCAATTTTATGGAGCAATAAATCCTGTAATTAGTAATCAAAGTTAGTTGTCTCCATGTTCTGAAAGTTTTCTTTTACTACTGAAAGTGAGTGTTTGGGAAATCCTAATCCATCTTCTATTATCTTAATTCTTGCACTTTTATTGTTATCTGAAGTATTTCGTTTACCATACTTAATTTTTTGATTTTATGTAGTAAATTTATCGTTCCACTTATCATTTCATTTTACATACAGTTTGTGTCTGTTCATATAGATTTTATCATTATCAAGATTATCACTATATTTCTGAGTCCAGAGGAATCAAACTGAATCCTGAAGGCAAAAAATTTTTCTTAGTTCTCATGTTATAAGTTTTTTAGTGTTTTAGCGATGATTATCTATTTCATTTCCAGATCAATATCACGGTTCTCTATTTACGTATAGTACGGATTTATTTCGAGAACATAGTACGAATCATGTAACTAAACTTGATATTGGACCAAGGCCTTATGTTCATTATGTTGATCCACCTCCTGCACCACATGAGGTTAGAATCTAATTCTGCAGTAGGTATTAATAAATCTCTCTTAAATTTTTTCTTTACTATTTGTTTTTAGCCTTTTTGCTGATCATTTACTGCATATTGTTTCACTTATATTTCTATTGCAAATGGAAAACTTTTCCTTCATAAGAAGAATATATCTTGTATGCATTTTATCGTTATGTTTTTAGGTGGGCACGTATATTAAACAAGATCCTTTGACATTACAAATAACGAAGTTTAATAGAGGTTCTCTCATTAGATGCACACTTAATTTTTCATTTATAAATTGCGGATTTTTATAATGTTATTTTATGCTCTTTTTTCAAAAAAAAAAAAATATGAGATGAGCAGCCTCTTTGGAATGTAAAATTTACATGAATCTTGATCAAGAATTTTTGCTTATAAATTTTTGATTTTATGTTTTGAATTACTTGCAGCCCGTAGTGTTCAGTCTGTTAATGAAAATGTAATTAACAAGAATCAACAGGTTAGCCATCATTTAAACTGTCACTTTCTTTGGGCCTGTAATTATCTTCTCTTTTATTCAGTATTAGTTTTAATTAGTAGTATATAAAGTAGGCTGAAGGTCTATCATTATTTTGGTATTTATATTCTTTTATACATTGTCAATTTGCAGTTTAGAAGCGTTAGATAGCTTCAGATAAATATCGATTTTGTTCTTGAATCGATCATTAAGAGTGTAAAAAGTGCCGTATGCAGTTTACTATTTTCATTGCAGATATTACAGCCACAGGTTCACATTAGCCATCAAAATATTCCAAATAAAGCAGGTGGTTTCCAACTTTAGCAGTTTTAAATACTCAAGATTTGTCTAGAAATAGGTATTGCAGATGTTTAAAAAAATCAGTCAGATATTCGATGTAAAAATCTTAAAAATTTTTGCAAACTTCAAATCTGTGGCTGTAATATCTGCAATAAAAGATCATTTAGAACATGACGGACAAAAAACTCAAAGCGAAAGTAGTCTTACTTCACGATCACAGTTCAGAGGAAAAATATATATGTTGCCTGAGAATTGTACTCGTCCTCAGTCCTCAGAAGGGCGTACATTCCCACTGAAAGTTCGAAGTGAAGATATGAATTTCGATAGCAGCGATCATAATGAATTATTGCAGGAAAAAGTATGTATTGCTATGAATATTTCTAATTTTATGGGCTGATAATTTTTCCAAAATTAGCAGTTATTTCCCATTAGTTTTGCCATCTTTAATTTTGCCACTTCAATATTTGTTGTTTTAAACGCAAGTATTATTGTAAGCAATCCAATTTTTGATAATTTTTAGCCAAATTTTTTTTTACTGCAGAAGTTTTTGCTCAATTTATATGCAATAGCATATTAAGTAGTTCACATTGCATCAAAACAATATTCATACATAATACTAGGAACTTGTTTCCGTTTTCAGAATTCGAACCAAAATAGCCCGAAATCTCCAGTGAAATCTGTAATGGCCAAGTATACACCAGCTTCAGACCAAGCACCAGTGTTTATTCGTACTGCTACTAAAATTGTACGTAAAGCCGTCTATCCCTCACAGAAAACTTTGGCTGGAAATCATACTGCCATAAAGTCACGTAAGGATTTTTTTGTTGCTCTTAGATAAGTCTTAGATTCATTGGATTAATTTTTCACATTCAGACTTCACTGCTATTTTTTCAAGTTTTAGAAACTAACGTAGAAGCTGATTCTTCTTACACAAAATTATCATCACAAAAATATGCTAGATCAACTAAACGTGTAGTTGGTAATGGAACTATGTCACGGGACGGTATGTCGTGGAAAAGGCAAACTTCAGACTCTCAGGTTTGAAAGTTGAAGTAACATTAAGTTTCTATTTAAAAGTGTGAGCTGTATCAGGTTTCCAAAATTATAACTTTGCTGCTTTTTTGTATGTTTATCCATTAATTTCAACAGATTTTTCAGCATACTGTAACAACGCAAAAAGAATTTTTAAAACCGCAAAGAATTAATCGTCGACTTCGTAGAATTAAAGGTTAAAAAAATGTTGGGTAGCCAAATCATGAAATAGCCAAACTCATTTGATTCGGTTTTAAATCAGATCGCTTTTTAAATGTCACCATTCATTTTAATTGAGCTCGATACCATTGTTTTTAGTGCTCTAATATGCGTAGTTTTTAAGATAAACTGTATGCAGAGACGTCTAATGAATGCTTTGAGTTTGCTGAGCATGGTAAATGTTTAGCTGGTGCTTTTTGTTCTTTTGATCATAATGGTGATAGCGGACACAAAACTATTAAAATTTGTTACAAGTAAAATTTTCTTTCTTTCATTTTTATGTAAAATGGATCACAAAAAGTTCAATCCTTCATTCAGCCATGACTTTGTTATCATTAATTCATCAAGATATAAATTGCATCATTGAAAGAAGATCAGGAGACTGAGATTGAAATGAACGGTATGAATTAGGATGATTTAAGAGCTGGTAATCAGTAGGTAACTTTTAGATTACATAGCATTTTTAGGCTGATGCTGGGTTTATGTCGTGGGGATTGCGGTCATTCTCATTTCCTTCCTTCACATCAAATGCCAGTCTGCGCTAATTTTTTACAACTTAACTGCTGGTGTGAAGACTGTCCTTATTTACATGTTAAGCACAAGAATGGCAATAAGCGATGTGATGATTTCAATCGAGGAGTTTGTACAAAAGGTGTTGATGTACGTTATTTAATTGTCTCTGTTCTTCATCCTCAAAGCATTTATTTTTCCAAAGTACCAAAAAAATGTATTCTAATTTTGTGCATTTACTTTCATTCAAGAATACTGAAGTGCTGCTATATTCTGGATATATAAGCACTACAGATCCTTTTTCCATAAATGACAAATTTGTTATTCATCATAGCAATCATATTATAAGAGGCTTTTGGTTTCGTGAAATAATGGCGATGATGTGAAAACTCACATGAGAATGCAATTAAAAGTGATTTTTCGGTTGAATTCACTTGCATTCACTGAGAGATGTCTAATCTTCTTTCTGAGCCTGATTAATTGAAATTGATGAAATAATAAGCGGGTAAGAAAAGCGAAATATTGATTGCTGCAGCAAAATAATATCAGTGCTTTATTTATTAAACATTTTTAAAATTCTTTCTGTTATCAATTGTATAGAGATCAAATATTTGTATCGATTTTTTTAATATGGAGGTCAACAATATCTTGTTGTTATTTGTACACATTTTTGGTAAGCTACGAAATAATTTAACTAAAGCTACTAGAATTAATTTATTTTTTCTGTATGTTATATTTTTGTTAAGTTAATTGTAGCTTATCAAAAATGTACACTAACACAGATATCGTGGCATATTATTTAAAGTAATGTTTTCATGAGTTTCAGTGTCCATTCTCTCATCGTTATTTTTTCTCAGTAATTAAAAGAAAGTGCGAGAAATCCCAGATACGTGACGCATCCCATGTTTCAGTTGATCGCAGCAAAACAATCACCAGGTCTTTTAAATTTCTGTTGTTGATGTCGCCAAGTATTTAATTCTTAAAATTAAACAGCATCTAATTTAAACTGTTTCATTATTCTAATTCCATTTTTCGCTTTTTGTTTTGACACTAATTTTATATCTTGCCAAATTTGCATTCAAATAGTCGAAAAAGATTGTGGATCTGTGTTAGATACTGCATAGTAATGTAATGTATAGCCAAGGTACCGGCGAGCTTTGTGATCCAGATGAAAACTTCACATTGCAATGGATACTATAAAGTATGTTTTACACTTTTTCAATGCTACCAATTAAAATGTTTCAGTGTATATTTTTTTAATTCTATTTGTCCCATTTCAATTACTATGCCATTCCACATCAAGTGCTTCCTTTATATGCCTTGATTATTGCCAGTAATGTATTATTTCATTTCGTCTATATTAATAAGGAAAAAGATTCAAGGGAAAAATTTTCTAATTCGTAAGCTATGATGGAACATTCTCCTGAAGCGTCAGGTTTTCAAATTTCATACTTTTTAATGTGAAAATTTCAGGAAAGAAATGTACTTTCATCCATTTGGTAAATTTCAATTTTAAGTATTTTTTTATCCTCGATATGTATGGTATGTTTACTGGTTTTGTTGTATTCAATCTCATTCCCTCTTTTTGCAGTTTTTGCCTATATTAAACTCGGTTACTTATGCTACCAGAATTTAACTCTTACTTTGCATTAGTTGCTTTTTTAAGAGCAGGGAAAAGTTGTTCATGTATTTAGGCTGATTTTGATTTACGTTCAGTATTTTAAAAATTACATCAGTTTTCATTCACTAAGACAGTAGACGAAGTGATCACTGAATATAATCCAATTGATATGAATGAAAAAATGGAGGCAATTTGATGTTTAAAAGTTTCTACCTCTAGTAGCAATCTTTTCCGTTTTACCAAAAATTCTACTTCATTTTGTGATCCACACAAAATTATGTCTGAAAAAATTGAACTGGTTTATTCAAGTTCATTTTATCGATATAAATCTCTAAAATACATCTATTTACATGGATGCAATTAGGAAATTTCCATTCTGGGTCTTTATCTTTGTTCCAGGAAATAGAATGAATGATTTTTGGCTGCATTTGTTTTGTCATCTTCAGAACTAGTCTTTATTGAGGAGAAGCAGTGATTACTATTTTTTTTATTGTTTTTTCAGGATTTTTACTTTGGCTCAAGTTTCTATTGAATCATGATCATCATCGTTACACAAACCGACATGACGTCATAATCCGGTAAGTTTGCGTGATTATGTTTTTCGCAATAATTATTTTTAAATGTCACATCTGTCGAAAATAAATAGATCTTTTATATTTTATGAATTAGTGCTGTGATGTGAAACATTGATTACACTTGGTTCATAATTATCTGTTACCAATAAAAATAGAAGATGTACAAGAACCGTTCATGTATCAAATCAAATTGGATTTGCATTACAATTATCACTTCTCTGACATTTCAGTAGTCATATGCTTTTGCTTGTTTACATATGAGAATTGACAAATTTTCAAGTTTGACCACACAAATATCTAATGTAACAAAGGCTTCACTCTTTATCTGCAAGAAGGATAAACTTTAGTTCTTCAACAGTACACAATAACATTACTTTTGCAAGCCATTTTCTTGAATAAGTATTACCGTTAAAAAATTCCTGCTACGATAGAATTTCCTCGTAGTTAAAAATATGTACTGAGCAACTGCCCCGCACTGCTTAGTAGTAAGAGTATTTAAAAAAAACGACAGTTGTTGGATTTGTTTTTGTTGCAAGGCATATAATGAAATGATTCCTGAAATCTCGGCGGGAAGACTCTGCAAAATAGTACGTTTATAAAAGCTATTCATAGTTCTGTCCATTTAAAGATTTCGTTTCCAAAGCCATGGCACTAACGGTTCCTCAAAAAATGGTTGAAATCCAGCCTCTTGAAATTTTTGTACCTGATGTTTGTCATGAAACAATGGGATAGAGATTTAATGTTGACAAGAATCTCGATTAAATAAGTCAAATTATGGAACAGATTTAAGAGTGGACCGAACTCATATAAATTCTTCGTCTGTTAGTGAATGACATCAGAATTTTAGTGAATCCAAATCTGAATTCGGAGTAGTGCTAAATAATCCATCTGGAGATCTTTTGTAGTGAAGGGGATATTTTCTTGAAACACGATTTACGGAAGTTCAGTATTGACAAGAAAAATTGGAAACCTTATAGGTGATAAATTTGAACGAAGTATATTTAAAGATTATTGAGAAAGTGACTGATCGCTGAACAAACTGAGGCGGAGCTTCTTGCTAATAAGAAGACTTCTTGAAACTGTGGAAATTCTTGAAAGCATTACCTGCTGTTGAAGGTGTTTCAAGTGAAGTTTATGCTGGGATTGAAAGCAGTAATAGTCTGAAGTAGGCAATGTGGATATTAACAATTTCTCCAGTATTTATTTTGCTACTCACAGATGGTTTGTTTTTTGAGCTATTCCATTTGAAGTCATTTTTTTGAGATGAATTATTTAACAACAAAAAAATAGTTTTTGGCACTGTCACCCAGTTTTAGCAACATTTGAATAATTGTTATACACTGTGGAATATTGATGTGAATTGTAAATTTTTAAGTGAGTATTGTTAGATTCATAAAATCTAGCAATACTTTGCTTTTGTCAATGTAAGTTTTATCTTCACTGCAATATCTGCGCAGAAATACTGTTTATATGCATTTTGAAATATTGAACTTGAATAATAGTAAGTAAATTCAATAGAAGCAATCAATAGAAGTTTTTGAGAGTAAATTTGCTACGAAATCTGTAATTTGTAGTTTACTATCAGTCAACAAGAGAGATCGGATATTTCGAGTAGTTTTTCATTTTTTTTAAAAACAACTGATGGATCCGATATTCGTACATAAAAAAGTCATTGTTGTTTTCATAATAAAAAACAGACTACATTTCTAAAACTGAGATGATTTTTCCCTCTCTATTCATATGTTCTTGAAATTTTTGTAAATATATTTATGACTATGAATATTTAAATCTAACCTCGTTTTGTCATTATGAAGACTTGTATAGAAAAATTAAGTTTGTAATGATTACCTTAACTCGAGTTAAAGTTACGATTAGTTATTTGAAACTATTTGAAATTCAATAAAGATAAAAACCAATTTTAAATTGATGCAAATTTTTTAAATTAAAATTCAAACTCTGCTTTTTAAAATAAAGATTATTGTTTAAGGAGTAAAAAATGCTAATTTTCATGTTTTTTATTCACAGCTTTTCAAACCAATTCGACAAAAAATGTTTACGACTCTATACTCAAGAACAATGCTATATCCTCAAACAATAATAAGCCTACAGATGCAACGTCTGATACCGCAAACGTAAATTTCGACACTTCTTTTATACATATCTTCCATTTTTCACGTTAATAAGGAACTGGATGAAGCTCGTTAATATGCAAAATGTTACATTTAAATAAATTTACTGGGCAAGACGATATTCAATACCTTCTTAATAATGAAGATTCCCACTAATCTTCTGCAACATTCAAAGCAGTTCATATTCACCAAGTTTTTTGTTATCAATCAATTTATTATGGATCAATACTTTGTGATATAAGCAGATCAGAGCAACATAAAAGGAAAGATAAGTCAAAAGTCAAAAGTTTTGGAAAGTTTATTTTTGTGCAAACTTTGCAAGTTTGAATCATTTTTGCTGTATTTCCTCTCGATATGTCTGTAATTCATCAAAAAGAAAATGGTTTAATTATTCATAAATGTCACTATCACTGCGCACACAACTATCAAAATTACATAGAATCATTCTAAAAGCTATCATTACTCAGTAGGAATAATGTTGTGCTCATCATGGGAATGGCACCACGATCACTTCATGATTCCTACGTGAAGTATTATCTTCATAAAGTAGCATTTGTGATTAGCGCTCAGCATTAATTCTTTTAACTGATCAGCTGAAATATGAAGAGCACTCAAAGAAATGGTGATTTGCATCATTTACAATCAGTTATTGTAGATTGAACAACTCTGTCTTCGAATGCACAGTAACACGGCCTTTGTTAATGTTCAACCGTTTACTCGACTTCTGCTTCATTCTGCAAGTGAATGCCGTCGAAGATGTGTAGATTTATATCCTAAATGTGTTGCTGGTAAGATTACTGTAAATTGCGGTATTGACTAATTGAATGCTAAATCTTTTCAAAGTAATTTTTAGTTAGTTATAACATTAATAGCAAGAGATACCTTAAAAACTATTGTAGTACTGAAAGAAATTTGTTAATTCTTACTGTAAAAGTAATGACAGATGTTCAATCAGTCCCTTTGGCTGTTTGTACCAGTTTTTTCTTTTCTCATACCTTAATTTATTCACACTTATTCTCATACTTGTACTTACTGTACTATGAATTTTGATAAATTGGATGGAGAAATTCAGATGAAAATTCGCGCTCTTTTATTTCAGTAATGTTTTATTATTTGCACGAAAGAAACGAGAATCACGTTTGCTACTTATTTGATAAGAATAGTATAGATCAAGATGTAAGTGTTTATATTATCTTAATTCATTAAATGAGAAAAACTGAAGTAAAAAGATCATAAAATAAATTCTGGCGTAAATTAGATTTGACTTATAGATCTGCTTTGCAGGTAGCTCTTGTAGAAGAAAAACCGATGAAAGAATTGGATGTGATCAGAGCGCTTGAAATTGTGGTTGATTGCCATCAGTTTGATCCCTACCCACCACTGCTCACTAACTTTACCACTTCAACCGATCAAGTATCAAAGAAAAAGAGAGGTCACGCCTAAGACTGATCTGAAATATCACTGTGCTAAGTTATTCTGCTAAAATGAAACAAATAAAAATATCACGGTGTAGGCATAAAATTTAGTTTGTATTTCGTTAAGTGCAAGAAGAAAAAACGTAGTTGCACAAGCTAGTTCATCTGCTTCTTACGATGATTCTTGCTTCGTTATGACATGCTATGAGCGTTTGTTGGAGATGAAGTTAACTTAATGAATTGTTTTTAAATTATACTTGAAGAACAATAGTGGAAGTAATTAAAGAGCAGATTTGGATGGATTAGATATATCATTCTGGAATTATGGCCATAAAAGTAAGCGAGTGATAGAGAAAAGATGACAAAATTTATTGCATAAAATCTGTAAATATTTGAATGTTAATTAATCCAGATGATTATTTTGGGCTAATGTTTGAGTGCTTATTAAAAAAGATAGCAAGCATTTATATTCTTTCAAAATGATTTTTGCGGGTCTTTTTTTGCAGATGTTGGATATATGAGACCAGTTGAGGCAACAGGTAGCTGGTCAACGTGGTCAGAATGCTCCCCGCAATCAAGTAAATATTTGCATGCCTGATAATTATCTGCAATACAGACAAATGAAAATATTTAAATTTCGACTGATAAAGTCAAAGATGTTGAACTTAAGTTGTTCAAAAGTTATGTAAAGAATAAAATTTTGCAATTAAGATAATTTGCCTAATTTGTAGGGCGTCAAGTCCGCTCGCAACCTTGCGAATATGGTCGCAACATTCAGCTTCGTACTTGTCACAGCAGAAATTTGCAACAAACAACTCTTAATTTTAATGATCAAAGGATAGAAACGATGTTTCATCAACTATCAGAGATATCGTACCCACCACATCCGTACAAACATCCTAGCCCTACTGCGTAAGTACTACTTGTTACCATAAACAGTATATCGAAATCTTGGTGCAATGCTTGCAGTTACTTTGTAAATTTATTCATTCTAATAAAAAGTGAGGAATGCTTAGTGAGGAATACATGAGAATCATGAGTCTGCACAAGGAACAGATGGCACGATCTTGTTGCTACTGGCTAGATTACTTTCGTCAGCAGTGTTTAATGGTGAAAATTGATCAACGAGCACAGGTCAGCATGACAGTTTTTTGATTTAATCAGTAATAAGTCACTTAGATCTAGTAATTTAATAACTGTTTCATGCAGAAATATATGTGAATATAGCATACAAAAGTGATTAGTATTGTGCATATTGACACATTTCAAAGATTTAAAACGTTAATAAGCTTATTTGTTGGATTAATTTTGCCTTTGCCAACATTTCCAAGAATTATTAAACATAATGTGACCATCACAAATGATTCATGTTAATCTTATTGGTGTGTTACTCTTATTACTTAAATGTGTCAATAATGAATAATAATAATAATTTTTATTTTATTTTATAGGATTAATAATCATGCTTTCGAGCTGTTAGAATGTGTGTTGACTAAATGATGATTTTTGTAGAGTCAGTGTAATGAAATCATGGATAGTTGTCCTAAACCATGTCCCGTTCCATCTGGTATGTAAATTATTTTTATCCATGAAAGATTTAAAGTGTACATTTATTTATACTTTTTGAATAAATTCTTATGTCTGTGATGATACAGTATGGTCACAATGGTCACAATGGACAAGTTGCTCAACGAGTTGTGGAGTTGGGAGTATGCAGCGATACCGTACCTGCGTAGCGGGACAATGTGAAAATGACCACATCGAGTGGGGAGTTTGCGATCAGAACGTTCTTTGCGTTGCTACTTGGGCTGAGTGGAGTGAATGGAGTAGTTGTCATGGTAAGAGATCAGATTTGCATAGATAGGACTGTTATCTATCTATTTATTGTAGACTGGTTATAAAATGACATGCTTGAAGAATTTGGAGCGTTTATTTTGTGTATGTTTGAAAACGTGGGTACTTGCTGTGATATGGCATGCTTTTATATTCGATGATCAAAACAACATCGTGCGTTAATCTGCCAACAGATCGATCGATACAATTTGTCAGATTATTTGAACATTTTATTAAATGATTTGAGCGTGTTTGAGCACATCATGCGAGTTGTCGTATAATTTTGATTGCACACTTTTTATATTTTATGATGTTGCGGAATGTTTCCAGCAACATGTGGTAAAAGCAAGAAATCTCGCTCTCGATACTGTCCTCTTGGCAGGGGTCATTGTGGTGATTTCGATCATGAGGTCATATCAATATTATTTGTTCTAAAAAAACTCCAAAAATAAAGAACTTATCGTTGATTAAGTGTAAACAGTGGTTATAGACCTTTCAAAAATTATTGTAGTTTATGTTGATAAGATACTTTGTAACTGTTGAAGGAAATTTATATATATTATCAGATAATTGACAGTTAAAGTTATAAAGCTGTAAGCACGTAAGAAATTGTGGAAGAAATTGATGGGAATATAAAAAAGTGTGAATTTTCTTCAACGGTTGTAAAAATTTATTATTTCTCACTTAATTAAAATGTGACCTCAATGTAATATTCTGTACATAAATATGGTAATGCTTCAAAATAATTTGCTTTATAACTATTCAGTTATTAAATTTGAGCCTTATTTGATGTTCATTGCTATGATCACCAAGATTATTATCACTCTCAACAAACCTCACATAATACAAAGTTGCAGGTAGCTGACTGTGAACTTATTCCATGTCCTGAATGGACTGAATGGGAGTCTTGGTCACACTGTTCAGTTACTTGTGGAAAAGGTACCAGACAACGTTCGCGGATATGCAACGCCATTGATTGCATCGGTATGTGGATTTACCAATTTTATTTATTTCAAAAATTTAAGAATATATGCTGATTATTAGTAGAAAGGTTCTAATTATCAAAATAAAAAAATGTAATAGCCTGTAGCTGAAAGGGAAAAAAATCAGAATCTAATACGTTTATTTAAATATAAATATTTGCAAGCTCTAAGTTATAGTAAACACTTTGATCATAGAAAAACTGGCAGTTTTTTGGTCTAAAATATAAATCGAAAAAAACGCGTTTGCGTAAGTTTTATTTTTATTGCATTATATTCCAAAAAATCCAGAAATGTTTTTCTGCATTAAATTTCTTTCCTTACTACAAGTTGCTTGTTCTGTGATTCATCTATCAAAAGCTTATAGTTTGAGTGAGAAAAAATTTAACGGAAAGAAATAATAATTGATGAGTTACTGATTGCTCGATTCCAGAAATATTTAAAACGTAGCATGGCAAAATCTGCACGTTTGTTTGCAGGTGAAGATTATGAAGAATCAGAATGTCAGCAAGAAGCATGTAGTGAATGGTCAGGATGGCTAGAATGGTCACCTTGTTCGGTTTCTTGTGGACAAGGTATAAATACTCGAGAACGTGTTTGTCTGGGACATAATTGCTTGGGTAAGTACTTCTGGTGTTGTCACTTGGTGATAAAAATAATTAAAGTTATTGTAATAATTTAGAAACTTATTTCAGATTAACAAGTGATTGCAGTTCACAAAAATTTCATTGTCAACCATAGTTAATTAGATATGTTAGTTAAAAGTTATTAAAGTTATTTTAAGGATAATATTACTTCTAGAATAGAAACAGTGAGTTGTTTAGTTTAAATTACCAGTCTTATTAACTTTTATTGCTTTGAAAACTTAGGCCAAAACATTGAGCAAACTATATGCATGGAACAGGCATGTCCGACTTGGCAGGAGTGGAGTGATTGGTCTTCATGCTCAGCAACCTGTGATTATGGAATATCAACTCGAACACGTTCTTGTGACGGTAGTTTCTGTACCGGTATGTAAACGTTTATTTTACTTATCTACTAGGATACAAATATTTAAATATTATACTAAACACAGTTTACTACTATAAGACAAATGTAATGCAAATGTTACATTATGCGTAACTTTTATAGGTTAACGTCATAAATATTATATAAATAACCAAAATTAATCCGAAGCTATTCATTACCACTACATGATAATATCTTTTGTTATCAAATTTACATTGATATAAATTTTGTAAGCATTCACTGTGCTAATTTTGCATAGATTATAAATAGCATTAAGCTTGAGGAGGAATTTTGCTGAAATTAAGGAAAACGGACAGAAGTCATGCGGTGTCAAGATAGGACATGTCCAAGCTGGGCACAATGGTCAGAATGCTCAGTAACGTGTGGTAGCGGTTTCCAACGACGACAGCAAATCTGCCCTGGTGGTTATTGTGTAGGCGACAGTGAGGTTGGCTTGTATCATTTCAAGTTAGGTTGTGTTTTAGAGCAAATCACTCAGTTAGTGCTAACTTGTTATTACTAATTAACTTGCTCAAAAAAGAAAAAATATCATCAGTGAACTAATATTTCCAGTGTTATTCTAGAAAAATCGTTTTGAAATGAAGTAATAACAAGCAAATTTTATTTACAGAAAGTTAATTATTAATTTTGCATTACATATATAGAGAAACTGGAATTTTAGTCATCAAACATCTGGTGTCCCAAAGTAATGGTCATAACCTCGATGAAGAACTTCAATCGAAACTCTTTGCATCTCATTTAATTGATTTTGTGAACTTTCGTATTTAAGAATGAGTTTCTCCAATTCTTTAGGAGACACGATATTGTGAAACTGGAATAAGTTGTGTACAGTGGAGTACTTGGACAAGTTGGTCCACGTGCAGCGAAACTTGTGGATTAGGTGAACGCACACGTCATCGGCTTTGTGTTAACGGAAATGGATTATCTGATGATTGTAAAGGAGACAAAACTGTGAGTTTGTTTCAAAATAAAGCCTTTTGGAGTGTTTACAAGTGCTTTGATTCTCTGTCCTGCTCAGCTGTAGATTACATCCTCGCAAATGAATGTATGAAATAAACAGGAATCAGCAAAATGTCTTGATCAATCATGCTGTCAGTGGACTGAATGGAACAACTGGACACCTTGCAGTCACAACTGTGAAAGAGGACTTAGCTCAAGAACGAGAATGTGCTTAAGACTTGGTCAAAGTAAGTTCTAAGTTCTATTTTTTTAATTAGACTGCTCACCGTAATGGAGAAGTTGCCACTCGTGTACTTTGTACCTCCTTGTGATTGTTTTTGTGCCACCAATAGTTCAGGTTTTATTTTTTGATCTTCTTTTTTCTTTCGTTTCAGAAATAGTCAAGTCTTGAATTCTATATTATAGTATACTGAGATTTTTTGAGTGCATTTAATATGCATTTTTTATGTCAATACAATATTCACGTCAAATATTCCCATGTATATAGTTCTTTTAAGTTTAATTGTATAGATTTTAAGAATCTTTTCAAGTTATTGATGAGTTTTTGAATGATCGTACTCTTTAACGTTTTGTTTTGATCAGTAATTGTTCTTGACAGCTATTACAACTGAGTTGAATAACGACATGGTTGAATCAGTATTTTGATTGATTTCAATATAAGGCAAAAATGAGCAACTTTATTGCAGGTCATAGCACAACGAAGACCATATTGTAAGATAAAAATAAGGAAAAGCATAACTCATAATTTATAAGTGGTGGATTGAAGTTGAAGGATTATCTGTATATATTTACTAATTCGAAATTATCTAAATATTGCAGGAACAGATGATTTAACATGTTCTGACCAGTGTCCAGGTGATGGACGTGAGGATGTCAAGTGCAATGAGAATGTACCTTGTAAAACTCATATTAATTTAGCTTCTGAAATTAAACCACAAGTTGAGTGCATATCATGTAAAACACCCGCACATTCATTTCCTACTATCAAACCATCAACTGATGCCACATCGTACGAAAGCCGTACTTATCCGATTTCTAGCAGTAAACCTGCTTGTGCTGAAACTTCTACTGAACAAACGATTACACCACTAATTTATTCGCCTTCTCAAGGAAGATCAGATCAAATTATATTACCGCCTCAGGTTCTTTGTTCACAAGTACCTAGGGGTGTATTAGATGCAACCACCGCCGTTGGGTGTCATTGGTCTGAATGGAATCAATGGACAACATGTTTAACTATCTGTGTGCGCAATGTCAAGCGTCGATTCAGGTTAGTAACGAAAATCGTTGATTGGGAATGAAAAATTTTATCTAAAACATTAACTGCTTAAAAAAATAAAGCGAGCCTGAGTTTTTACATTTTATACAAAATTTAATAATTATTTTCAGAAGTTGCATTGGTACAGATACTTGTTCTTGTCATGGTAGCGAATTTGAAAGAGCGGACTGCATGCTTCCGACTGCATGTAAATCCAAGTAATCCAAAAATTTGTGGAGTAAAATGATAGATTCATAATTCACCGAAATACAATCCAAAAACTGGAATAATTTGAGACATTGCTAACTGAATTACCAAATTAATTCTCTTTAATTTGCTTGTTAATTTAATTTTTTTTGTAACGTCGATTCAAATTGCTAGTTACATAGAACCTTATTAGTGCTTTGCTTTTCTGTATCTTCTACCAAATTTTTGAACAAATTACCTCCTTATAAAAAGTGAAAATCACAAATAAAATATCAGAATAATTTTATCTAAAGTACGATTTGATGGAAAGTGAATTCTTTGCTAGACACGAATTTTTTAATTATTTCTAATTTTATTAGATTAAGGAAATATTTAAAAGAACCTAAGGAACCTTAATTAGACAGAATGAGTTAGGGAGTAGCATACTAAGGTATTTTGTCTCTTTGCTTCAACAGTGTGTATATTGTTTGCTTTCAGTAACGCTCCCATGAATAATCTGAAAAAGTCAAAATACGAAACTATTTAAAAACAGATTTACTTTTAGACTAAAATTTGTTTTATTCGCTTATCATATTTATACTGCCATTTTTTTGTAATGTATCTGTTGCTATGTAAATAACTTAAGGTATTATAAAAAATGCTTTAAAATGCAGGTAATTTACAATTTTAACGTTTAACAGCAATAATTTTATTATCAAAGTTTTGAGCATTTGGGCTTTTAATTAGACTTTGGTATTTCCTAAATTTAAATAAAATTAATGATTTGCTTAAAACTAATTAATGAAGAATATGACGTTGTTAATTTGATCATGTGAAGTGTAAGGTTAGGAACATTTTATAACTTTTGTGGTACATTTGTTAATACTCTTATAATTTTTTGATTTTAGCATGTAGTAAAATTTAGTAATGAAAAGAATGACTGGGGTTTTCAATAAAGTAAGTTTAAAAGTTTTCATGAAGCAATCAGCAATTTATGACGTAGACAGTAGAATAATTACCTATGTGATTTCAAGTTATTTGCGGTTAAGTAGCGCAATTCGTTTACCTGGTCGTGTAATCGCTGAAAATGACTCTGATCGTTATAAAAGGTGAAAAAAAAGAGTAATTAACAAAATTGCAATAATGAAAAATGGCTTACGACCTCATGTAAGGTCAGATATGGTTGTGGTGCTATAGGTCATGTACTTTTTGTATAGTACCATTAGATAACGCAGAGATAGTCATAATGTATGACCAGCCTTTTAAACAAGATCAGCATGAATAAATGTGCTACTTTATTGTCTATAAAAACTTACTATTGAAGTAATAATTGCGATCCAAATTCAGATAAATCTTCATTATTTAGAACAAAACTGAATTAAGTTTAAAAAAATGACGAAGCATGAACAATTTATTTAATTAGAGCATTATCGCTTTCTCGATAATGATTTGTAGAAGCTCCATTGTTTCCATGAACATATAGTATTAATCTGTCACTTATGGCAGGATATAAATTGATAAAAATGATTCTTTCTAGCTGTATTATCACAAGCAACACTTGTAATGGATAATATCCGTACTTATCCGGATTGTATTTATTAATCATTGGGAAATTTTTTTTTGAAAAGAGTTTAATGGCTATTAATATTGGTTGCTGAATGATAAAGATCTAATTTCAGTACAGATTTTCATAGTTTTAATAACAATATCTGGCATCACAAAAAAATCATTGACAATTCACAAAAAGACTTTAAATATTATGTGTAATATAATTAAAATTATATTAAAAAGAAATGATTGGTCTATCATAAATATTAGAGCAACACGTTCATTGCCGTAAAAATTTGCACAAATAAACAACAAAATTTACAGTTAATGTGGAAAACTTCGGAAACTTTCGTTAAATTTATGCAAAAAATCGCCACTCATCGCCATACACCGTAACTGAAAACTTCTTTTCGAAGTGGGTCTGGAATACACAAAAAAAATTAATTTCTGATCAAAAAGTTACAGCAAATCTTATCTCATTTTGGTCGTCCACACATGTATTGGTCATAAAAGCATTTTTTGTAGAAATTTCACAAATTTCGGATCTCAATTCTCGGAGGAGAACTGCAAGAAGTTCACGTAGTTTTACGAAAATACAAGTGATTGTTAATAAAGTCCTATTTTTCATTTCAGAATAAATTTTATTTAATAAACTTGAGCTTTTTAATTTTTCTTGTGATGTTAGCAGTTTGTTCAATTTTGAGAAGTTATAAACTGTTTGTTTGGTAGTTCTATGACAAAATTTGCTACTCCAATTAGCAGTCAGTACTTGAAGGGATACTCTGATAGTCAAGTTTAAGAAGCAAAGTTAACCTTTTCAAGAAACTTTTGGTTTCCTCAATTTCAGATGAAATTTCCGCTGGTCTTTCAACCATTTCCAGAATTGGATCACTGCTCAACCGGGGTGTTACTTCACTATATGGAAATACCTTAAAAAAGACTACGAAAAATCAATCAAATCTTAAGATTACTATTATAAGCAGCAAATTGTAACAATTATCATCACTATGGAGGTCAAGAAAATATTGAAATTCAGATCAAGCTTATAAATATCTTTTTAGCAGAAAAGAACGTACTTCATTTTAAAACTCATGATATGCAGTGAAACTACATTTAAATGTACTTTATTTTATAATGTACGAATCATGTAATTTGTGAATTATGCCATTAATATATGTATGTCTTCAAATATTTTTTGATTTTAAAATGACAACATAAAAAAGTATTCTTTTCATTTTTATTTTCATGCTAAAATATTTGTGCGTTTGACACATTTTAATATTATATATTAACTTTCACATCATACTACATCTTATTATTAAAATATTCTTGAAAAAAAAGTTGCAGCAAATCTTATCTCACTTTGTTCGTCCATGCCATTTTAACACTGACAGACTGTTTACAGTTAATATGAGAATACTTGATTACAGCTGAATTATTACTTAAATATTTCAAAATGAATTAAAATATACACAAAGAATGTCATTTGTGCAAATATTTTTTAATTTTAAAAGTACTAACGTTAATTCCAGTATCAGAATTATTACTGATAGAAATCCTTAGTTGAGTATTGTTCCAAGAGGATGATCCAGTCGGGATCCATTCCTCGATTGTTTGATGAACTATATGAGCTGTTGGACGATCCTTCGTTAATACAGTTTCTGGCGCTGAAATATGCTTTTTGCATGACAATACATTTAGAATTTTTTGAAAGATATATATATATATTTATTTATATTTATACTTATATTTATATCACTAATATAGACGTAGAAATACTCTAAAGTACACTGATGCATAAATATCACCGATGTATGAAAAGATATACTTTTAATTGCTTGTAAGTAAATATATCCCTAAACAATTCACAACCTCAATTTGCAGTAGTTATCTAAAATTACATGTTTTCAGTTATAAAGAGTCCATATATCCCGTAAAAGCTGTTATCCTTAATTATATAAAAGTAATTATAGTATTCAAAATTCATTTCCTTCCTTTTCTTTCAATCATAAAAAAGGGATTTACGCCCTTAATCAGATAAAGTCCAAAAAGGAAAAAAGTTAATATTCTTAATTTGTGATTCTGATAACAGACTGCGATCAACTTTTAATTTCTCAATTTTGTAAGGGTCAGAAATATTTTATTCTGAAAAAAAGTCTAGAAGAACTGCGGTAGTGCAAAATTCCTTACTTGCTGCTTTCATATAATTCATCGCCATGGAAATCGATGTAATAATAAAGTTTATGCAAATAAAAAACAATTTATATTTTATGGATGGATGGCACGAAAACCATTCACTTTAATTACTTCACCATTTGTTTTTAATTAACTGAACAAAAGTTAGTACTCACTGCTAGTCCATATGAGAAGCACGCAAGTACTGTTGGAGTAAAGCTATGCAACAGAATTTGTTGTGAGAAAAAAGACTTACGTCGAAAAGAATATAAAATATTGAAAACTGTGAAAAATATTTTTGATTTAAGACTGCTAATTGTTGCAAAGAGAAGGAGCATGAATAATTGTCATAAGCAGAAATCAAATATTTATCTGCTTTTATTTTTGGTTTTTTTCAATATTCCAAACGATTATGCCTTTGCATAGTGAAAGGGATAAAAATTTGCATTTTATGAATAATTATGAATTTAATCTGTTCTTTAAAGATATGAATTAAGCTTATATTAATTTAGACACAATAGCTAAGACTTAACTTTTGGTTAGCAAGTAAATATGTCAACAAAAATGGCAAAATTGTTTACTGATGAAAAGTAAAATTACTATCGAATCTTTTTTAGTACACTCTGAAATTTACTTCGCTAGCCTCATTTCACTTCCTATCTTCTACAGTTCTTATTAAGCAATTAATACTACTCAAATTTTGAACTTCTTTTGGGTTAGTTTGAGCCAGTACTGATCAGTTCTGAAATTGAAGTGACCTGAGCAGCAATCTTCATGGTCAGAATCAATAACGCTGGTACATTTTGGAGCTGTGTGTATCACTGAAGTAGTCGGTACTTCACCACTGCTTTGTGCCATCATAGCTGTATAATACGTGGTCTCCATGCTATACTGAATAGCCTGAAAAATTTCACCAGCAAAATTGAACACATTTATGTAATGATGGCAAATTATTAGTCTCCATTTAGAGGAACTTCAAACAAGGATGACAGACGGAAAAAAATGCCAACGTGAAGTTGCCTCCATCAATGAGAACATAAAGTATATGAAATATACACTTGATATGGTTTTAGCGTAAGTTTGAGCGTAAACGTAAGTAAAGTAAGCTTTTACTTGAAAGTATTCATATATGAGAACGTGAGTCCAATGATCAGTGCATTAATCAAGAATGACTGATGTTAAAATAAGCTCTCATTTGCAAATTCCATTGAAGTAAATCCTAAATACGTTACGTGAAAACACGAGACAAACCTGAATGAGGTATGGAATTCCACGAATATTTCTCATAATCATTTCAGCTTTATCACGATCTAATACTTCAGACTGTTTGCCATTGTTAGTATGTCTTCGATGTCTTCTAACAAATCGTTTCAGACATTTTGGCCAAGTCATTAGTGATTTTGGTCGTATAGTCCATAAAACTGTCGAAGTGACTAAACCACTAAGGCCAAAACATAGAAAGACTATGGTGGAAAGATTGAGGCCATAACCTATGGCTAATAAAGCCAATCCAAGAAGTGATGCAGTGAAGCTTATCATTGACAATAGTAACAGTATCAGCATTCTCTTCCGATGCGGCCTAAACGTCCCATCCACGGAAACTTCCTGCTATTTCTCGCCCAAAAATTCATTACTACAATTTTTACTTTTCAAAAATATATTTATTAATATTAATAGTTTGAAAAACAATGATTCTCCTTACCATTTTGAATAATAAATAAAGTTCTTATAAATAATAAAATTAAAAATATTCTCCATTAGCAATTTGAAATAACAACAATAATCACAATCTCCATGGGAAAATCTATTTTTTTAAGCAATTTGCATAAACAATTTGCTTAAAAATGTTTTACATTAATGCACCAATTATTATGAGGAGTCTCTAATTAGCTGTGAAATGCTTTATTCTGTATATGTTTTTTCCCGTAGACAAATTTTGTAAAAATTTGCTTCAATAATTTGGTAAACTTTGACCTTATAATGTGGCATTTCACTCCGAAAAGCAGAACAGAACTATTTGTTGACATCAGTGCAAGCCATTTCTCATACTTATTAACAATTCATATGTTGGAACACAAGCATAGAAAACTTACGAATATTATTTGTAAACGGAAGTTATATGGTGTCACGCAGGAGCATACGCTACAAGCAAGTTTTTGATAAATAAAATATAATGTGAGCAATAATCATAATATATGATATTCTTGAAGTGAATTTAAAAAAATAATTAATAATGTTTCTTTTTGATTACAGAATAAATTTTAAGATAGTAAATAAAGCTCATCACGAAGCCACCTCAGCTGAGATTGAATTTTTTTTGCCATGTACTCATTAACCCAAGTTTTAATTATCACTCGTATCTTATTCTAATTATTGAACTCCTGAAATTGACAGAACACAAAAGATATTGGAAATTCAAGAAAAAATCGAATGCTTAACTTTTTAGACTTTATTTTAAGGACAAATTTGCAAGAACTGCATTTATACTGAGGCTAAAAGGCATTTGAGAAGAAGAAAATTTCGATAAACTAAATAGAATTCAAATTACTGTACTAATTAATTATTACCATGAAATTTCTTTTCGAAAAACAACCAAATCTATACTGTATACAAAAGGATTTCACGTGGAATTTCAAGTAGAGTTTCAGTGAATTTCGCAAGACATAAGAGGCATATAAGCGTGAAAAAAGCTTATCATATAAAAATATCTCTAAAGTTTTAAACTAAATGTTGTACAGTCAGTGTTTGATAGCATGAAAATGATAGGACTGTAACGAGAAATATATTTTGCATTTTCAAGTTTGCAATAACTTACTCAAATTTTTGCTATCGCAAGATTTAATTCATGCTTTATTAACTGGATATTAGCTGGATTTATTTTTGATTTGTTGAACGCATAATAGAGCAATCCAAGTTTACTATTACAAATATGAATGACCTTTACAAATATGTCACAAAATTCAAAAATAATTCCATCCCTACAATTTCTGTACCTAATTTTGACAACTTAAGAAAAGATATAATGAATAAATAATCATTAATGTCTAATATTATATACACATCGCAACTGATGTATAAAACATTTATTTCAAAAAAAGTAGTCTTAGATACTGAATGAAAATTTTTACAAATTTTTGTTCAGAATCTAATTTGATACTAACTTTTTATCTATTTTATTCAGTTATCACTTCAGAAATAAAATTTAACCATCATTGACCTTAGCAATATTAATGCGAAGGATAATGATTACAATTGTAATTAGTAAAGAAATTATTTTATTGCTCTCATTATTATTATTATTATTAAAGTTTTGATCACAATAACAATAGATGATAAAAACAGATATTTAAGAATAAAGAGCAACTCTGATAATAGATTGTTCCCCCAGGAAATTCTAATTTATTTTATTTTTTTTAATTCTAAACTAAAAAAGAGTCTTATTTTAAGGAAGAAACAATATCTTTTTCATTATTGCTTCTGTTTAATAGCAAGAAAGTATTTGCCAACTGATAACTAATTACATTTATCGAGAAAGCTAATGTAGAATTATGATAAAGATGGATAATCATCGTCATAGAAAGTTTGTACAACTACAATTATATTAAACTATAGTAGTTATCAAGTATGATGATAATAAGCTGTAAATAATGGAAAACTTTATCAAATCATGCTGAAAATTTACTTGACAACTGTTATTTCCGTACTGCCTATCAAAAATAAGTACTAATAATAACAGTAATATTTGTGACCATTACAGTGATAGTAGCAATACTCAATATAATAACGATGAATAAATATAATAACTACCACCATAATTCCAGTTTAGTTCTCACTTCTGTGCCTTCTCCTGATATCATTTTCAATAGCTTTTCCGACTTGCATTCAGCATAATCCATTCTGATTAATCTACTTATCACATCACCATAACCATTAATTAGTCCACAGTTCCTATTGATTTTAATCATAATTTATCGTTAAATTATCATCTTAGTGCTTGTTACACTTGTCATATCTGTCTATTATTTAATATTAAAATATCAATCATCTATCACTTTTATATTTTTCATACAATAGCTAACCTTTAGCTAACTTTATTTACCATAAACTCCAACTTTTTGCTAACAAATTATTAAACATAGTACAATCCTAACTCTGATCCAAGTTATTCATTAAACATTGACTAATGATCGTTCGTAATGCAACAATTTGATAGTAAAAAAAGCAAATATATGTACGCATAAAAATATTTACTTTTACTTTGCTAATAACTTTTTTTGTAGCAACTTCCAAAAAAAAAACATATTAATAGTAGTAAGTGATTGTTGCGCACATTCCTTAATTCGTTACAAGATGGAATTTAAAACCTTAGTCAGTTAATAAAAAACATATATTAATATCCGTAAATATTAATAACTAAGAATCCAAACATTTTGTTCATTGACAAGAAACAAAATTATGCTCATTTTTGTTAATAGAGAAAGCGTAGGAAATGCCAACAGAAAAGGTAAAGCAATGAATGCGCGGGGATGGAAGTTTGTGCGTGTGTGCATGTGTGTATGTATATGTGTATATGTGTGCGTGTGTGCATACGTGTATGTGTATGTATCTGTGTCTGTGTATGCGTGTGCATATCTGTAATTTAAAGAAAAACGACGAATGCATTGATGGATAGATAGGCATTCTGCAGGCTCCTTCATGTCAAATCCAATAAGTGTCACAAAGAGGCATCAGCAAAGCACATAAGAAAAGCATTAGCCTCTGATATAAATAAATATATATATATATAAATACAC